AGGGGGTGGTCAGGGATGGGCCGACCTTTGAGCTACTCCGTATTTAGTGTTCTAAGCTCCCGGTAATTGCCAGCATCACAGGGGATCACGATCACAAATACCGATCGTGCGCAGAATCGACGCGACTACGTTTAATTACACGTCACGTACGCGTGAACGTCTCTATTATAGTATAAATACATATTGTTCACCTCCCTCCCCTTCGGCACCGGATGTTCTTTCAGCTCCAGATACTGGAGATCAGACCGAGAGAAACGTAGTGATTCTAATGAATGTCGACACATGCATAGTCACGACATCACTAAATACTATTGTAAGAGTATTGAAGAATTTTTACAAGAGAGATATAAAAATCTAAATTATCAATATTATTATATTACTGATTTAATTATACTTTTATTCGCTCAATTTTACGCATTTTTATTAAATAAACTCTCAGAATATCGCGCATATAATGATGTTAATCGCGTCGATTATATAAAATAAAAATTATCGTTAGCGTGAAATATATTTCGCTCACAATATTAATCTTTGTTTTTATACAATCGTCTCGCTTGGCTCTTAATACGGGGGTGGCAAAACACGAGCGGATGGAACGTAATTATGGCGTATCGAACGTCTCTCTCCGCCAGATGCGGCGAGTTCCAAACGAGCGCATCGCACAAAAACGCGAGCGATAGCCTCGGTAGCGATTGAACCGATTCGGCCGTCAATCAAAGTCGAAAGTCGAAAAGCCGACGCGGGTTGCTCTCTCGATGACAGACGGATGGACAGACGAACGGTTCAGGTAAATCGACGTATCGCGTTACGAGGGTCACCCCGGATCGATCGAGGACTGACGAAAAGTCGGCAAGGTACTCGTAAATAGAATACATTTCCTTTTCCCTCGTCGTGTGATTGAAATTTACGTTCACGATTCGTGCACGTTTTTTATTCGCTCTTTCGAGAGACAGGATCATTTCGAGATCACGCAACTTCCGAAATTTGAAAGACAAAGGGAAAATAAAATCTGTTTGAAAAATAGGTCGATCCCGTGTTTTACAAATAAAAATATTCTCTGCATCATTCTTTTTATAATTTTCTTTCCAATTTGAAATCGAATTTTGTACATGTTTAAATTATTTTTAATAATTACCAGACTCTCAAGATTAAACGATAAAATACATATATTAAATATTTATATTATTACTATTAATAAATATTAAATATTTATATTATTATTATTAATAAATATGTATTAATAAATATTATTTAAATACATATATTAATACATTTTCCATCATTTGTTTTAAACTTTGTTAATTTTTGGGAGTTTAGAAATTAAGAAAGTCATATTTTTGACCGCAATATATTTGCCAAGATGTTAACTTTTTTGTAAACCTATTTTTTCGCGTCAGTTATACAGTGCTTAAGGCGCGTTACTTCAGCAACGGTATTCGCCGAGGCGAGTTTCGTAAAACGCGCGGGGACGAGCGTCGATTGTCTCTGCGGTTTTTCGCCGGCCGCAAAATAAGGCACCGGCCGCGGTATTCCGACCACATCCCGCCGATTTTATTCCGCCTGCATTGCACGCGGAGCCATAAAACGTGATCGCCGCCGTAAGCGACGTTTTGCGACGTAATGCGATGCGAAAATCGCTCGGGCATCACGGGAGAAAATTATTCTTCTCGTCTTTTATCTTTCAGCTTCCCTCTCGCACACGCATGTAAGAGAGGAGTCTCAAAATATAGCAGCGAAATAATTATTAAAAAAAGTTGCAAATTTTAAAATTTAATCTATATAGGAGAATTTAAGAAATACATACGTCGCGCAAGATCATAGAACTGACTCAAGATTGGAGCGGAAAAGCGAAAATGATGGACGTACAGAAGGCAAACGAGAGAATCCGGCGCGATTTGCATATCGCTCCGTCACGACCCTTTTTATTCTAGCGCCGCACGACGAAAGAAACATCTGCATCAGAAAGAGAACGCCGCGCAAAGTGGATTACGGTAATGGATCACTCGCGATTGATCGGATTAGATTACGACGGCGATCTATCGTGGCGATACCGTAATCGGTGAACGGGCTCAGTCGGTGCGAAATGACATACGTTACGCGATACGATTCCCGGCCATTGATTTTCTGATTCTGCAATTATCCCGATAGATACGCGATTTTAATTCTTCGTAGGGCGAAAGCAAAGAAATTCGATAAGAAATTATATCTCCAAATTTTTTGTAATATTAAAATAACACTTGAATATTCCTCTTGAACATCAATTGATCCTAATCCAATTTATAAACCGCACAATGATCTTTAATTTTTCTTTTTAAGGCATTTTAAAATTTAATTCAATTTAAGAAAGAGAGAGAAAGAGGCATGAATTCTTTAATAAATATTTTAATGAATAAAGTCGATTTTCTCTCTATTAATAAAGATTTTATTTTAGATTTTATTAAAGATTTTATTAAAGATCTCTTTCCAATTTTTTAAATATTCAATTTATAAATAGTTTGACAAATTAAATGTTTAATTAATATTTTGATAAGATGGAATGTTTTTTAAATTTAATAATAAATTAAGTAGCTATTTGAAAAGTTTAATTTAAAAAAGTTTCTTACATATATATAAATATTTATAAAAGAAATAAAAATAAAAATGTATGGAAGATCGTAGATAATTTGCTCGCGAATTTAGCTTTATTTTATGGTTTTGGAGGCATGTTAGAGGATATATCGTATGCCAAAAGGTGCCCCGCACCTTGCGAAGGGCGGCGCAGCATTGTACGAGTCTCTAATTGGCGCTAATTTCGCGAACCTGCACTCTCTCTCTTTTCGTCCATATAACGCAAACAGAAACACGGGATACGCTCCATCACTCGGACAATATTGACCCTATAGCGGGTGAAATGACAGGAACGCGGGGATCACAATGGCTGCGCGCCGCCCCCGCCTGTGCACTGCCAAAGCGTCCCATTCATTCCGTGCTCTCGTGGAAGCACTGACAGCCGGTCATTAGGTGAATACGAGAACGAATACGACGCGTGCACATTTAATATGCGCGAGTATGCTTCAGCAGATCGATCCAAATGTAACAGCGATTTCCGGCGATTTAAACCGTGGATTTCGCGAGAAAATATAATTCGCGAGTGACATAGTTGCACGTGATGCAAAATGTTGAAAATACATTTCTTCAAGAGTTAGAATTATAAAATTATTTTTGTGTAAAATATTATACATATATTTTATATTATTTTATAGAGGAAAGAAGATTCGATTCCAGGTTAATCGAAGAATTTCTAAAATATAAGTACGTGATTAAACATTAAAAATTGAATTAAAAATTTCCTCGATAATACTGTCGTTCGCGATATCCCGACGATTTTTTCTCGCATCGTACAGATCGCGACTCAAGGACTTCGCAAAGGATCGACCTAACGGAGCACTCGGTCCTTTAATCTCGGGGTCAGAGCAGGAAATTAAAAATTGAATAGCCAGAAACATCCCTTCAATGCACCGTCTCGTACCTCGATATTGCGTGATATTCTCGTCGTGCATACACGCACGCACGCATGTGCCATTGTCCCGTGACGTTGATTTGACGTAATTGGCACCAGGAAGGAGCCGAGCGGGGCAGCAATGATTGGGATAAGCCGGAATAAGCCGGGATAAGCCGTGCGTGGATTTTCCAGGAGGGGCGCGAGAATTTCGACGTATTTTTTTTCCTACGCGCCACCGTTACTTCACGGGATCATTTCGTTCTTTCCCCCATTCCTCCCCACCCTCTCCAACGAATCACTTAATTCTCGATACACACAGTATGTCAAACAGTAAATTAACGTGCAATTTAAAAAATTGTGCAGGATGATTTTTTTAGACGTATTGAATTTTAATAATAAACTCTCAAAACCGATTTATAAACAAGTTTTCTATTTTCTGTTTTCCCTATCAAAAATTTTTAATTTAATCCCCTAATACAGTAGAATGATAAGCGTAAAAAAATAATTTCTAAAAATCTAAAAAATCTTTTAAATGTTATAAAAATGTTATAAAAATATCGTTTAAAACTATTTTCATAACAAGCTGCACAATTTTTCGTTAAATTATTAAATTTATGACTGAAAAAAAATACAAATTAAATTCGTCTGTCTTTCACACGTATTAAAGATACATTTATGATAGAAATATGTATTCACATGATTCTTTAATTTAATTCCTTTCGATAAAATAAAATGGGCATCCTTGATATTTCTCAACGCGATTTTTTCAATGTAAATTCTTTTCTCTTTCGAACACGTTAACACAAAGATTGAATGAACTTTTATTTTCACGATTTCTTCCCTATTTGCATTTCATCGTTTGAAGGGATGTTGGGCAAACCTGCCCGAGGTCCGGAGAATGCCCATTCGTCACGCGTTTGAAATGCACGGACTTCGCTTTGTGCGTCGCATACATACGCATATGCACGCACGTACGTATGTTAAGGATAACGAGTGGTTTTCGCTGTAATGCGAACGTCAAACACTCAAACACATACCCCAGGCTCAAGCTTGTGAGAGCGAACACCTGAGTATGCGAGAGCGGAGCTCGCCTAAGCTTCATCGGGGTCGCGCTTTAGCTGGGATATCGCTGTCTAATCGCAAATGCATTTCTTATCACGTATCTCACTTTGCGTATTATGTATTGAAAATAATTTAACTCTCTTAAGAACTTCAATCTTTATGTAATTAAAATTAACAAATTTTTATAAATTTATATTTATAAATTTATATTTATAAATTAAAATAATGAAAATTCATATTTTTGCACATTTTTACTTTAATATAAAAATTATATAAGAATATAATAGATATTAATTATTTATTATTAATTATATCCAATTTTCAATCATATATCAAAAGAAATTGCTATATTCTTATCGCGTCACAGAAAATTAAATCGATTGAAGTTCTTATTAATTTAAAATCAATGAAATGCTTGTGCGACTTCAATTTTATTAATAAAATCGTTGTCACTCACTGCGTAATCGTGATGCTCCAGACGATATCTCAGGACCAATTAGCAAGGATGCGATGTACGTTGTCCTTTTATGTCGTCAGAGGGGCGCACATGATTTCACGGATCTTCGTCGTGGCGAAGGGCGTCGGTATAGATTGCGCATCTGCGACACACAAAGGAAGAGCGTAAAATTTAAATAAATGTCCGCCGGCGGGCCACGCCGGATACGGCAAATTAAGTGACATGCTAATCACGTCTGGCGATACATGCGCGAATGAATAATCGTTTATTCTCTCTCTTTCTCCTCCCCCCGCCGAAAGAGAAACCTGTTTACGCGCCCTGCACCTTGCGCGATTGTAAACGGTATTAATTTTACACACGCGAATAAAAATAATATTCTACTATTATATATAAATTTGATTTTTATATATCGAATTATTTGTAACTCATTTAAACTTAGAAATAATCTTAAACCATCCCAGGAAAAGAAAGAAAGAGAAATATTTGTGGAAGATTAAACATTAAAAAAGTATAATTATTTAATTATTTAATAATAAAATTAAAATCATTATTTATAAGAATACGATAGTAATAATTAATATGAATTAATATAAATTAATACATATATTCTCTTTTACTTGAATAATATTATTAAAACTAATAATAATAATAATTATTCATTTTACGTTTACTCTTGTTTATTCAAGACAAAAATTTAGAAATTAAAAAAAACTTTTTATTTTTCATATTTTATATATATGACGATTTCAAAATTAAAGTCTTCGCAGATCGAAAAAACCATCTGTAATGACTACGTCAAAAAAGAGCAAACGCAATTATATGTCACGCACTCGGCGCGCAATCGCATGGAAAGCTCTCGGCGAATTCAAAGTGACCGAATTCTTTCCCCACGTTGACACGTCCGTAAATGTATCACCTGGTCGTGTTCGACAACAAAAAGGGTTGAGCAGTCGATCGGAAAGAAATCGTCATTACTGCGAACGCCCCTCGATCGAGCAGGCGCGAGTTCATTGAGAGGAAGAATCGGCCGGTTTCCACACGAAGCGTAACCGATTTCGATTTTCGGGAACAAACGTTTTATTCCACGAACCGAATCACGAACTCTCTCGAATTCGCCTCGTTTTAAATATAGCTTTCGTCTTGATATAATTTTGCAAATTTAATTTTATTTAATTTTTTTATAGCAGTTCCACATAAAAATTTATCACTGATTACTTTTAATTAAGTTTACCTTTGCCAAGAGATTATAAGACTAGTTTATTGATTATTTTGCTTGAAAGATTAATTCTTAAAAAAAATAACTAAAAATCTTGCTATAAATATCTCGAGTTCATTAATTATCGAAAGATTTATAACGTATATTTCTCTATCTTTTTTGTACACATTTATACGTAAGACAATCTTTTTTAAGTCTGTATTTAAACAGTAATAATCGTAACAAACGTTGGTACATTCACGTTTCGTTCCCATTGACTTTAATGTTCCTGTTGTAATAGGGTTAGTTTTTACAAGCAAAATAAAAAAAAGATGTGGATCGGGTCTATCTGTAATTCGTCCCTGGGAAACGGCAAAGTATTTTCTATGACGAAATAAAAATATTCACATTAAGTGCGTAATATATATTATATGATTTTTGCAAAAATTGGACCACGACTGACTATCTGCCTTATTTGAATCCCGAATAATAATTCTAAAATCTGTTAATCATAATATTGTAATAATTATAATCCATAAATAAGCGATTAAGAGACGAATAAAAGCGTAAAATATCTCGTACCACGCAATTGATTCTTTCAAAAATATCTCACCGTTTACGATGCTACATTTATAATTAGAATTACTGCTTATCAATAATATAATACATTAATTCCATTTAAGAGAATACAAATTGTATATTTCGACGATATTTTCGGATTTACCCGTGCGTATTCAACAAAAAAAAACATCATTTAATTCAAGAAACACAAGTCTTCATTGCATTCCATTAAATTAATTAAAATAAGGACTTACCGTTTGATAAATAAGTGTGAGAGATGATTAAATGATTCGTACAAAGTATTTGTTCGGAAACACGTCCGATTCCGTCGCCGGCGGACGCGTGTGTGACGTAGCTCACTCAATGAGACTCACACAATGTTTACTTTTTTCGCGCGTGCCCGTGACGTCATAGAAGAGACCTTGACATTCTTTACAATCCGCCGGCCGAACCAAAACATTATCGTACAGATGTACGTACATAATATATGACATATAAATATGTAGATATTGTTAATGTATATTAAATGTAATTTAAATATAATTTAGTCAATTATAATATTAGCAAATATAATTATAGTTAAGCAAATATAATTTAGTCAATAATTTAGGCAAATATAATTTAGTCAATTTTCGTTCTCTTTACTCTTAGAGATAATTTAATATCATGGCATTTTTATTTCCCTTTTCACTTCCCTTTTATTCACCTGCCTTGAGCTTTCATACTTTTTTCAACGACGTATTACGTACAATTTCCGCGATTCGCGTGTATGCAAATTTGCGTTTTCCCGCCCCCGTTAAATGCAAAACAAAATACCGTGAGGGATATAGGACCGTGAAAAATCATAAATCACGATAAAGGGATGTGCACGTGCACCCTCTCGTGTATGCGTGAGAGAAATCGTCTAGGAAAACTATTAACACTCTGTAACGGCGAAAAGATAAGGGATTAAAGGGACGAGATACGCGATGTGGTCGAAATGTGTTTTGTGCATGTGTTACCGAGAAAAAAAGCTTCAATTTCATAATCTAGGAAATATTAATATTAGACTGAAAATTAAATTTATATAAACGGCAAAATAATGAATAAATGAATTCAGAAATTAATATCAATGATAACAAATCAATAATAAAAATGTCATGTTAATAGTAATCAAGTAATTTAATTTAATTTTATATATATATATATATATATTTTTTTTTTTTTTACAGAGATTTAACAGGAGAATAATACAATATTTTTTGTGTGTATGTATATTATTATGTTTTGTTAAATCTCTCGCAAATTAAGAATCCAAAATAATAGAAATCAAATAGTAAATATTGCTTAATTTTTTAAATTCGTTCATATTCATAATCTAAATATTATATATGTGTGTAAAATAATGCATACAATTAAAATATAAGAAAAATAATTAACAATTCATCTAAATACTTTATTAACTCGCGTATAATTTATCGTGGTCGTAATAATGCATTTCAATTAACGCGATTACCCCTATGTCGATTTCTAACGGAGAACACGATGGTCCTGGAAGCACCTGCGAGCCTGACAGAATAATTCATGGAAATATAAGGTCGACAATTAGGTAATAAATAGTCGGAACACCCAGTCGGTCTCCCTCTCTTTTCTCTGCGCCTACTCCTCCTTCGCGTTTCGCTACGTCGTGCACGTCGTTGAAATCGACAAGGGAGTGAATTAATAAAACGACCCCCGGCTGCGTATGTGTGTGCAATGCTTGTAAATGTGTATACGTCAGGCAGCGACCCGTTGCACAGATGTGCCCCTCTGCAAAGGGCGCGTTTCTTTTATTTTATTGCCGGGGGTTAATGGAATAGTTTGCATGCCCTAAACAATCGACGCACACGAATATTACATTCCTCCTTCGATCCTCGACATCCAGGACCACCGTCAGTTGTAGGAAAAGGATACACGAGATATCTCGATCAAATGCCCGTGATTTTTCAGCTCTCGGAGATAATTAATCACGTTCCATGCGTTCCCGAGTAAATCACAATCTTAATATAATTTATATTAAATATGTAAATTAGAGAGAGAAAATATATATATAATTTAATAATCTAACTTATATAAATATTTTATTAAAAGTTAGCAAAAATTAACGCAATTGAGCTCGTTAAATGTGATACAGTGTTGGTGCAATTACGCGCGACAATTTTTTTTCTGCGACCCGAATCCGCGTTAGGGTATAGGAACGATACAATGCATCGGGTGGAAAAAAGGTCTCGTCACCTACCGGTGCACCGCGTGAGATCGCAAATTCGAAAAATTTCGACTGCCATTAATCGTTCCTTCGTAGCGACGCGGCTTTGTTCCTGCGATGACACGCGTAAATCTGTCGCTAAACGACTTTTTTCACCCGCGAGCGAGTGTTCGCTCATGCGAGTTCCATCTCGCTTTAAATCAAAATTATTATCGAGCATCAATGTTCAAGTAAAAACTTCAAAAAATATATATAATAGAGTATAATAATTATTATAAATTATTATAAATAAACCGATAAAACAATCGGAAAGAATGCATGAAGATTTTCTTTAATGAGAGAAATTTAAATTTACGTAAATTTGCTCGCGAATTCTCGGTTTTGCTGTTATATTTGAGTTCTCAAGAGAGCGTGCATTCTTTTGAAAAGGTCCTTATTAAAGCGATACATCGAATCGAGATCTCCACACGTCAAATCGCAACCAGCAGCGCGGTGAAGACGTCGCATTGAACGAAGGCGGTCGTCTGTGAAACACGTTTAGCTTGTTGGTACACAGAGCTCGACGGGCGATGGATGCGAGCCCCACATTGTATGCGTGCGAACGCACCCACGTGCGTACAAAACGTGCGTCGACGATTTATTCAGAGTTTTCGCATGTGTCATTTTTGAGGATCATTTTTCCTCGTCGATATCAAAAGATCTGCAAAAGTTATCATTTGTTATAACGAGTAAAAAAGAAGATACAAAATATAGAACAGTATATATAACTGCAATAAATGGTTTCATTTTTTAATTGATTTTTTTATGATACTCTTTATAGCATGATGCATCTGACTTTGATTGCTTCCAATCGCGAATACGATTAAAATTAAACATACACATTCTCTCCAGTTTGTATTTTCATTCTTGTATTGCTTTTTACTCGGGTGTGAATAAAAAAGAATTATTCGCGTAATCTGTCACCTGCATTGTATCATTAGAAGATTATGGATTCTCAAGTATCCATAGAGGCTGCGATCTTTCTTTTCTTCTCTTTCTCTTTCTCTTTTTCTCTCTATTCTATTTCTCTTATGGGCAAAAAGATCAAATTCCACTCGAAGTCCCCCAATCGAGCTCTTCTCGAAGGCGATCCTTCAGGATCCGACAATGAGATCGAGTGGAGAGAAAACAGAGTCGACAGCAGATGTGGAGCTCCATTCTCGACTTATTCTGTCAAAACATGGACGACGTTTATAGGTATATATGTATATATATACCTATGGAAAACGTTGCGAGAACACGAAGAATGGATAGAAGAGCAGAAGTGTCTCCTTTACGCTTTAGAAGCGTAATTTATCGAGCGACGCGTGTTTGCCGTCGTCGTGAAAAATGCGAAAAATTAGATTCCTTCGTGTCGACACCAACGAAATAGCGATCAATCATTGTTGCTTGATAAAAAACTTGTAATTTATTTTTTATAATTTATCTTTATACTCTCAATATGTTCAAAAGATGTAATTTATTTCCAATTCTTAATAATTTTAATTCCGCAAAATTATGTATTAATCGTATCGTATTTTTCGTAATACATATTTCAATTAAAAAAAGAATAATTTTAATTAAGATTTTTTTACATAAAATGTGTTTAAAGAGAATAGATGTTTCAAAATTACATACATAATTCTTTAGACTCCCATATCGCGACACGTTCGATTGCAGTTCGATGGACGGGCCAATCGGTGTCGCCATAATTTATCGTCAAGACTTTGTGCCCCCCATTATGCAAAATCACAACAACAACATCGCGACTCGTCCACTCGACAGAATCGGTCGGTTCTTCTCTCTCGTCAGGCCCCGAAGAGGTGCCCGAGAAGGGCGAGAGAGTCATCAATTACGATTGGAAATAAATCGAAGGCAGATGCGACGATCGCCCGTAGGGCCCGTCGCGGCGGGTGACCAAATTCTCACCCCTCGCAACCCCCCGCGGACAATACGACTGTTTTCGACAAATACAAAACGATACACGAGCCTCCGGATACGATCGTCACACTCTAACGCGAATTTCCGATTCGTTTCCCGTTTTATTGCGACGTCTTTAAGATGGCACGACACAAATAATTCAAAACATAAAAATAATTTTATATGTATGTATTTCAATTAGTTATTTCTCTAATAAATATTATATATTATCTATAAATGCGTTTCCATTATATTTTTTAAAAAGATTGTATCAATATTATTTAAAAATTAATTTCAAATTTAAAGAGAGAGAAAAAAATTTATGCTGCAAAATTAAATTATCTTTCAATTAATAAAGAAATTTCTCGCCTCTTATTTCCGAGTAACAAAAATTTTTAATTAATTGCAAGAAGAATTATCGGTCAAGTCTTATCTATCAAGAGTGGTTCCTGTACCATTGCTTTAACAACTTAATAAAAAATAATCGGTCCCTCGTGTTGGTAAACTGTAACGAGGTATGCGATAGCTTTTATCTGTAGACCACAGGAAGCCGGTAGCGAGTTTGATGATAAAAATTCTTCGCGAAGCCCTGTGAGACGTGAGAATATTGTCGGTTTAATGCATTAAAAGCTTTGCCTGCGGGATTTACTCAATGGTGTTAAAAATAATAAATACGAACGATATTATCAGGTTTACAAATAATTAGTGTAAATATTTATAAATATAACAATAAAATATAATGAAAAATATATCGATACATAACCGAAGATAATAATACGATATTATAAACATCTCGAATCGATAATTTTATTTCTTCCCTAGATGTATATAAATTGCAGTCAAACTAAATTATTTCTTCTTAAATTAATTATAGCGTTCACGCTAATAAATTTAATTAATATTCCTTCGTTTTCATTCCCAATTAAAGTCAGCGTTTTTCGTATCAAATATAATCGCGAAAAGTTATATCCTTTGCAGGGTCACTCGATACTGTCAATGAGAACGTTGTTGAAGGTTCCTCTTCGTAGGGCTTCTTATAAGAATTCCTTCACTGCCTCGTCGTCATCGTGTTACACTTGCACCAAGTTTCGCGCAACTACGAGAATCGTCTCGTCTCGTATCTCCCAGTCGGACCGGTTATTCGCCCTTCGAACTTCGAGACGATTCCTGCGCGTCGTTTGAAACAATAAAGCCAATTCGACGGGGAGATTCGCAGATCCGATTTGACGGGATCAGGATAACGCTCCTGAATTCCGCTTCGCCGCCCACGGCGTTATTTCTGCGAGGACGATTGAAGGGACTCTTCCCCTCGCTGCGCAAATACACGACAGGATTAAGGTGCATTTACGGCTTTAATAGCAACGATCGTGTCGTGCGTTTATATTGTGCGTTTCAATCATTTCGATCTAATCGTTCTTTCGAATATTATTAAAATTTCAAAAATACCAACTTTTGAATTTAATTTAAAATTAATAAACAACGACGATGTACTGTCGAAAATAATTTAAAATCTCAAATTCATACTCTAAAATGTCAAAATATTACAATTGGAAGTTATTGGTGGGTCTTTTAATTCGGGCTTACAATGTTCACGGTTTGATGAAGCCCTTTTGACAGAATTGACAAAATTCATATATCGAGCACATCTCCCTTTGTGAAGGGAAAGGACGTGAGAGAAAATGATTAATAGAATCCGGAAACATTTGAGTCTATTGTGAACATGCCTTCTTTCGTGTTGCATTCCTAGCAATTCTCCTCGTGTATCCCACAGGTCTCCAAAAACAGTACAAAAGCGTGCTAGTTTCACGTCAAAATAGTTTTTCGCCAACAATATAACGGACAGGCGGAGAAAGTGTTTTATTACTCTTTTATAGATCATTAACTAGTAGATCAGTTCTCGGAGAAAACTATTGTCATTTTGTGCAAGGATTCTCAATGTGAATTTTACCGTAAAAATTTCTCGATCATATATCATTTCTCATTTCTGCACAGAAATATTTATTTAACATTTTTAATACGACGTAGAAATATTTAATATCTCTGCATAAATATTTATTTAATGTTTCTGCATATATAGAAATATAAAAGATATGGGAATAGATTAAAAATGATAAACTCTTGCTTAAAAATTTTGATATTATTCGTATTATAATACACATCACAAATTCCTAGAATGGAACAATTAAAATAATGACGATTACTTCGTATAATTTAATACGATGAAATCCAAATATATCCGATAAAATAATATCCGCAGCGAGTTAGACATGTCTGAAAAAAGTACATATCATTCAATATCTTAATATACTCTCTTTATACAGTTACACGTATCTATGTAAGCGCAGGGGAAGGAGGGCGAAACAAGCGGAGAGAATCCGACGCAAAAAATGATATCTTTAATCTATAAACTCTTTACAAATATGTACAATAATAACAAAAAATTTCTCCGATTTTTTTCTTACGACGATCACGTATTCAACTTAAAGGTAAAACGTAAGCAGACGCAACGATCCGCATTCTGACTCATTGTTAGCCGGGAATCATCGTGATTCATACATTTCGTCAACGGCAAGCCATCGCTCGATGACGCAATCGTCATCACAGTCGTTGTGTCTTTTCTTTGCGATCAGACGTATTTTCGCGAATATCGCTCTTACGCGAGCGAAAGGAGATGCGACGATCTTCGTGTCTTGTCACGATAGAAGATGAAAAAAGATAGAATTACGATTATCATTGTAAAATATAAAAAGTAGATATTCTTGTTTGCAATCATGGATTTATCTGTTCAAGTCAGTAAGTGCCCTTTGAAGCTATGATAATCTCAATAATGATTAACAAAATATTAAGTCGGAAAACAAAATTGAAATTAAGTAAAAATAGATTGGATATTTTTTAAAAAAAGTTGCATGCTTTTAAAACTATATTTTATGAGAGAATCTCAATATTACAAATCTAATTATTATATAAAAAATAAAAAAAACTAAGAAAGTCCAAGAAAATAAAAAAAATTTAATATATTTAAAGATAAATTATTGATCGTTTTATATTTCTTCTATAAAAAGTGTTTGAAAATATAGCTTAAAAAACATTGAGTATATTATGTAAAGTGCTTTCTTTAAAGAGATACCAAACAGCCGCATTTCCTGATACACGCAAAGCTGCCTGTTCTGCGACATTTATAGTTGATAGGTCTCTTCACGAACGATATTGCTGTTCTACGACAAAACGTAAGCATTAAAGTGGCTTACGAGATCCCCTTAATGCTATAATCGTTTCAAAATGATCGGCGCCCGTTCCAATACATGACGAATCGTATGTTGGATCGCAGGATATACTTATATAAAATATGCTTATACGAGCGCTGCGACCTTCGAGCGGTCAGTTGATACATCAGAGATGAGCGCTATTTATATCGCCATTGCAAAATGATGCATGCAAAATCCTTGAAAATAAATTACTTCCATTTTTGAAATTTATCGCGCGAGAAATATATCGAAGAATTGACAGAATTTAAACAAGCCTACGATGAATGATCAATTATATTAAAGAAGGAATCGTTTAAAAAGAATTATTTCATTTATATAAACTATAATATATTAAATATAATATAATATATTAAATATAATATATTTATATATTTACAGACAATTTTGAATTCGCCCAAATATGATTGACATTCATTTAACCAGACTGTTGTACGAGAACATCATCGACGGCCTTTAAGTACAATGCGCACTAAATCTCGTTATAAGAGAAATAGGAACTTCTCTAATGCGTGAAGTTCGCATTCCTCCAAATCCAACAGGGTCTAATGCGTGAAGTTCGTATTCCTCCAAATCCAACAGGGTCTAATGCGTGAAGTTCGCATTCCTCCAAATCTAGGATAATTGATTTGTTACGCGTAAGAAAACGAAAGCAAGGTTGCATTCCACGATGAACATACGGCAAAAACGCATTTTCCGCGCGCAATTTTTTGCAATTCGTTGTCGATAACATATATTATACTCGTTGCATTACAATGTCAAAGCATGCGTGACAGATCGGACGGGAGCTCGCGACGTTCGATCGTTCACGTCGCAGAACAGGCAAACGAATACACTTACACATTTGCCATTCTCCTCCAAGAATGCGAAAGAACAGGGAAGATACGATTACCCTGTTTTCGCGTTTAACATTATCGATCCAAAACCAAGAATGAGCTCTCTCGTCCGTCATCGGGGGCAGTCGGATCTACGCGAGCCTCAGTAGGCCCGCAGTCGCACCTCCATCTCGGGATCCTGGCGATGCGGCAGGTGGGGCTCGATGCCGGTGGCGGTAGCGCCGGTCGCGCCCGCGCCACCCACGTGTCGGCTGTGGTGGCCGTGATGATGATGGTGATGACTCGCCGCGTGATGCGTATCGTGGTGATAGTGATGGTTGAGATGCGGCGGTTGCGCGGCCGAAGCCGCGCCGCTTCGATAGGCACGCTGCTTCTCCTCGAAATCGCGCAGCCGCTGGTTGTAACGCTCCAGCTGATCCCGTAGCAGCGCGTCCTCCTCGGCGGCGCGCTCCTCGTCGTATTCGAGGCACCCGACGCCGTCGAGTCGGTCCAGATCGATCCAACCGCGCCATCTCACGCATACACCATTCATGATGAGATGCGAGCGCAGGTGTACCTGAAACACCGCATTCAGGGAATCTTATGTCAATGCTGATGCGTTCACGTCGATCTGGATCTCCATGGATGATTGGAATGCTTCTTGGATGGTCTTAGGATGGAGAATACTTCTGGCTTGAGGTTTCGACGAAGGATAGATTCTGGATGTGTCTTGAGATGAGAAAGGTTTCATGTTGTGCATTCATTCATTGAGCTTGATGTTGGATGTAGGATTCATTATGACGGAGGAACGGATGTGAGATTCAAATATTTTGCAATATTAAAATGAATGGCAATTTAGGATAATCCTTTCGGATTCCGATTTTTATTGCAAATAGAAAGATTTCTGCTTCTTGGGATGGTCTTGGATGGTTTCAAGATGGAGAGTACTTCTGGCTTGACGAGATTTCGACGAAGGATAGATTCTGGATGTGTGATCTTGAGATGAGAAAGGTTTCATGTTGTGCATTCGTTGGACTTGATGTTGGATGTAGGATTCATTATTATGAAGAAACGGATGTGAGATTCAAATATTTTGCAACATTAAGATGAAGGCAGTTTAGGATAATCCTTTCGAATTTTAGGATAATCCTTTCTACTTTTATTGCAAATAAAAAGACTTCTTGTATCTAAATAAACTCGTAAATAAATAAAACAGAAAAATGTTTTTCGTAATAATGTATAAAAACTATAGTAGTATGAGTCTTGTAGTATGAGATTTAAAAATACTATTTCCTTCTTTTTCATATTACTAAAATTCAGGTTGTATTTCGAAGCCAAAAGAGTTCAAAATTTTGATAAAGAAGAATTGTATTTTCTAATTTCATTTAAATTTTCAGGTAATTTCTCTTTTTCGATTAGCAAATTCACTTTTGCAATAGCGTTTATTACGCTCTATTTTTAATATAAATTAATCAAAACAATCAATTGAAATATTTTGATTGCTAATCGTATTCGAACGATATTAATGACTCAACTCACACATTTATTCCTCAAAAATTATGCGCTAGAAAATGACGAAGCTCGTCGATTCCCTCTTCGAGGCCGATACCGGCTTGCTTACAATAATCTTTTATGATGTTTCTTTTTTAAAATCCATCGGCGTGGGTTGTAGGAGGGCTCCATTACGGGCCACTACCCGCAAGTTTCAATCATGTGCCCTGTTCTCTTGTTCCCCCAACTCCCCTTTTCTCGTGTTCAACAACGGCGAGCGCTTCTTATTTCCGGAGAGCGATTACGCAGATTGGAAGGTACGAAACTTCGCGGTCTCTTCGTCTCGAGATGAAAGGAGAGACGAGAGGGTTGAGAGAGGCGAGGCTGCGTCTTATTCGTGTAAGAAATCAATTACAAGCAGAATTCTTTATAGTATTCGTGTACAATCCTGGCTATAAAATCTAGTTGTGAGCGTTATTATCTCGAGTGTTTCAACTCGTGCGAATTAGAAAATTGTTCTAATCAGTCAATCGAACGTGAAATATTTTAAAGCTGCATTTATTGCAGAAATGTTTTTAACATATGGTGGGTCATATTAATTTTCTTTTTTCTTAAAACATATGAAGAATTTTGGAATAATTAAATTATTCACATAAGTATATAATAATTAAATTGGTTCCTATAAAAAAAGAAAAGGAAGCAAAACTTTAATTATACATGTAAAAGAATTTTAGAAAAATTATCTTCGTCCTGTCTTCCTAAAATTTTCTCCACGTGATGTAAAATTATATTATTACTTTGATTATTTATGACTACTAATTAAGATTGCCACGCGGGATTTTCCAAAGAAAATCTAAATGAATGGCTCTCGAAAAACGATTACTGGGTTCTGCGCCGACAGCGCAACACAGTGCTATTTTATTTTCTGGCAAACGACCCGACTTCCGGTGGTCTCGCCGGAGCCCAGATATTATTACAAGATCAAGAACGCTCGGGGAAAACCAGTCAAAGTTGTATTTGTGATCCTGACGTAATGAATGGTGACACACAATTAATAAAATGACTTAAAATGTTGCGCGATTATTTTGTATGTAACATTTTCATTTCTCATAGCTATAGAAAAATGTATATACAAAATCAATATAATTTAATCTTTAAAATCAATAGAAAATGTAACACATAATTTAAACAGCAGTATGATAAACGATACGTTATATGAGATATAATTTATAAAATAATTTCAATTTTTTTTATCTGAAAGTTACGTAGATTGAAATTTCGAAAAATTAAAACCTTTTTATTTTGCCACTGCATTATTGTGTTTGTTATTCTTAAAGTCATTAAGATGATAAATCTTGTTAGCATTCAAGGACACGGCTTCATTTATAACGCAATTAGTTCGGTGTGAGATTCACGTGGACGAACAAACGGCCTCGCCGACAGAGAGGTGAATCGACGTTACATGTCGTTTCATTCTTACAGCTGCGTCGCCGACAATGCACCGCGGGGCGCATTTTTATGCACTAATAATCAAGCCACGGGGTGCGACACGCGGGGTGCTCCGGGGTCTTAAACGTTTTCGATAATCGAATCGCATGCGGCCTTTGATCTCAAAGGGCTCGAGAGCTTCTGGTCTTTACCTTCCGAAAAAAAAAATTCTTCACTTTTTTTCGCGTACCGTTGTAACGAGATAATTTTCTTGCATTTCTCTGAAATTTCATTTAAAGGCGCGTTATCCCGACGCACAAGTGCGAGACGCAGTTTTCTCTCGAGGCGGAAAGTTTTGCTTTCGCGCAATCTGATGTATATTAATGCCAGTTTCCAGGTAAGGCGAGGCGGAAATATTAAATATTACGCGGAATGCATATCAAGATAAATACGAAATGCGCAGAGCGGGAAAATACTTCGGGTTTTTTATTTATCTTGTATTTTATTTTATATTTTATTTTTTTAAGCAATTGAAATCTAATTTGTAATAAAAAATTTTAGACAAATATCCATGATATGTATGAGATATTAATTTCTTATAAATATTTCTTGTATATTTATTCTTGTACATTTCTTGTATATTTATATATTGACAAGGAATATACTTATATTCTTTGGGATTGAAACAATGCAAACGTTCTTACTCGCGATGATACTCTCGTTTGCATCCGACATCGCGGAACGAATCGTCGAGACATATATATTCCGAGCGAGAGACAAGTCGCAAAAACTAGACGCGGCGAGGATCGACGAAGAGAGGAGGAGTAAACGACATATCATTAGTCATCGCCGGTCGCCTTCCTCGTTCTCACGAGGAAAGAACAGTAGGAAACATTTGTTTTTCTCCGCTCCTTCGGCTTCAGCTTCTGCTTACGGGCGTGACGACCATTATCGTTGCATAATAGTCGACGATATTTAAGCGCGCGCGCGCGTCGCAACCCTTTCTAATTTGCATTAGCGAGCCGGAAAAAAGCGAGCGAGGAAAAAAATGGAAACTAGCGCGACGCACCGGTGGAGGAAAGGGGTGAAAAATCGGCGGCAAGGGCGAACGAAGGACTGCCGAGTGTCCTGAAACAAACGACCGGCTATTTCTCGCCGGCCCTTTTATTTCTCAGTGGGCGTCGCCGCCGGCGCCTTTTTGCGCCCGGTCCACTACACCCGGAGCCTCGTGAATGCTGGTCCCCGGAACATTCGTCAACGATATCCTGGCAGAAAGGACGAGCGAGGGGTCAGCATGGCGGGTCGCGTCCCTTGTCTCTCGCTCGGGGTCCAGTTCTACGTACGTTTCATTTTTACGAGCAGGATGCGAGTCGTCGCATCGACCCAGTTTCCAAACTATAAATTTTATGATTTTTTTAAGGGAGCACTTGGGCGAAGAAGGGTTCACTGCGATTTTTATTAATTTTAGGATGCGTAATCGTACGAAAGAAATATTAGTATTTCCAGTAATTTTCCAAATTTCTCTCTCCTTCTTTAGACAATATTTTTATAGATCGACTTTAAACTTTCTACGAAATCTTGGGTTGTCCGAAATTATTTTTTGCGAAACTATTCTACAATTAACTAGAGCGATCGAAGCTAATATTTTGGAATATTCTTTTTCAATCTTCGCATCAATAGCTTCGTTTTATCAGCGAATCAACTGCTTGATCGAAGGGTTAAAAGGCTCCGTCATTATCGTGCGCCGCACGCGCGTTTTATCTCGATCGCGGATCTCTCCCTTAATTATTACGTCGCGCTACGAGGTACATTGACACGCACAATGAACAAGGACACGTGTGGTCGCGCGCCGCTCTTTATTCCTTCGCTCATTGTCGATTAAAACAAAAAGGAGGCCGCGGGTTGTCCTGTAAACAACGCGCCACGCACCGCATCCAGAACCTAATGAATCGTTTCCGTCTTTTTTTTTTGTAAAAGAAGACGTGAAATAGGCTCGAAGGAGATATGAAAGAAGCTGTGAATGCCAAGAATAAATATCCTAATCGTGATAATCGATGTTAGGATTTTTTAAATACAATTGATGATGTAATATTAAAATAATATGATTTCAATTTTAATATTTCTTTTCAGTGGAAGTATAAAAATATTTAAATGTTGGATTCATCTTGTACAGATATTTTTAAACATATCTGAAAATCTAAATATGAGGAAAAATATTTTCAAGAAAAGGCTTCACTTATGAATGATTTATAAAAAAAAGTTTGCACGAGAGCGAAATAGGGTCTCGAAAATCCGGAAAAGACTGCGATTCGTAGGATACTAGGATTTGCGTTCGACCTTTGCAAGAGTCAGAGATTTACGAGCCATTATACGTATACCGGGTGACTAGCGGAGCGGTTTCGAAGCATCTGGTGGCGGGTTGCGTTTGACGGATTTCGAGAGCGCTAATTGCCACTGTTATCCACTAATAGTAACATGGCTTTTACTTTCTTGATGTTTATGGCTTGACAGAATAACGTAAAAGGATATTCTATCTCGGAGGATGTTCGAACCGGAAACGTAAAATTCATTTTGCTTTTCCAAAAAAATATCGCGATATTTTTATAAAATTCGTTACCACATAATATATAATTATATATAATTTATCTCTCTAAAACGAGATGTTACATGCTATATGTTACAATAGTTTGTATAAAAAGTATAATTTGTAGTGTAAAATAACAAATAGATTTATTCTGGTTTTTTATATAAAGTAAAATGTGAAATGTGTAAAAATTAGGAGAGCAATTAAATAATACATAACGATGGAGAACGTTCGCGAAAAGATCAGCGCGCGCATTTTGCAAAATGGCGTCGCAACGACGCTACTATTGATCGCGATGGCACCGAGAGGCGTCGACCGTGCTATCAGTGTATAAAGTCGACGATTTAAAAAGAAAACACTATGACTTTAATCGCTCAACTTAGAAAAATGACACTTTTAAAAAATAGTAAATTTATTTTCCCAAAGCAGGAATTTTCGATTTTTCTCTATAAACCGCACAGAGAAAAATGTCATTCTATTGTCAAGAAAAGCGATTACTCAGTTTTTTTTTTAAGTAAAAATAGTTTTCTTCAACAAAGAATATATTCTTGATAGTAGTCTTAAAACATACTCATCACAAGTTTTAGAAAATCTCAGTATCATGTGCTCAAAAGAAGAATTTATTTTGTCTTCAAAAATATTATAAAGTTCAAAGAAAAATCAAATTTACTTTACGCCCATTCTATGTAATAAGCAAACCGAATTTTTGTTTTTTAATATTCTTGACTAAAATATACTGCACTTACTAAAATTCAGAATACATTCAATTAAATTTAATGCTTGTGGTGAATTTATGATATATTTGCGGATATACAAACTTATGATATACTTAAAACAATTAATATTTACTTGAATAAAGTATACATTTTTCTCTGTTTCGATCTCTTATTTCCGTTTTTCGACGTAACACGGAGGTAAATTGGGCCTTCTCGCTTAAACGAGAACGGACCCCCGCGGAGAAGTTGGGCCTGAGATTGCCGGGGACCGGATGCGAGGGTGACACGTTGGCGCCATTGTCCGAGAAGTGCCAGTCGGTCGGCGGATACTAAATTACGGACGCGCGCGCGTAAGGTAAACGTTGTTAGGGACCAGATTCGTGCCTAACGGCCCCTAATTTACCCGCTTGTACGACCCAATTATGACCGCACAATCGCCTTCGTCGAAAACCGAAAAGCACCGCCGCTCCGAAAGATTTCCGACTCACGCGGTCAAAGTCTCACTTTGTCGAAAAGTGAAACTCTATTCTTTTGTACATCTTCTTTACGCAATATCTCTCACGCGATTCTACAATAAATCTGTGCGAAAAATAATTCAATTCTCAGTGGAGAATCTCGTAAAGAATAATGTCATTCTAGAGAAGATTTTTCTTTTATATTTTATTCACGTATTTCTAAGAGAAAGATTCTTTTTAATTTCTACGATAAATTTTATTTCTTCTAACTTTGTTAAAAATTTCGTATGAATTAATTAATTTATTCTTATATAAATTTTTGTAATATTCAATTTTGCGAATGTGCGAGTGTCATTTCTAACGGCGAATGCGAATGATGAGAATCATTTGCGATGATGATACGGTCGAGAATTGTGATAATCTTACAAAAGAATGGTACTGACTTACCTTGCCATGTTCCTTGTCGAAATCACAGTCGCAGGGATCAACGGCGTAGTTCCCGGATGCGTTTCCAAAAACAAGCTGAAGATTGGTACCCGTCGCCGCAAACGCGATCTCCGTATGGCCTTCCCGACAGCCATTTTGGAAACGTACTTGTCGTTCTTCTTGTGGTCGATCTCTGTAACCCGTATATCTCACCTGCAAAAGAGAGAAAGCAAAAATATTCTTATTAGTATAAAGATTTTTCAAAGGCAAGGGGACAGTATTTATCAAGCAAGATAATGTCAAAGACAAGGGGACAGTATTTATCAAGCAAGATAATGTCAAAGAAAATTAATTTAATTTGAATTTTAAAATTCTTTATTTACTTTTTCAATTCTTTATATTCTTCATTTACATTTAATTTATATATAATTTTATATTTAATTAAAGTTCTTCAAATATTGTATCCTTTTAAATATTGGAGCATACAAAATCGAAACAAAGATTTATCAAAATGATCAAATTGCATTACTTTTAAATAATAATTTTCTCATAATTATTAAAAACATTTTTTAAAATCATTTTTGGTAATCATTTTATGGTTAAATTTCCATCTCGTAAGCTTGATAATCCAATTATCTTATTATCTAGAAATAATATATCGATTCTCGAGTATCATTTTACAAGTTTCTCCAAAATTCTAGACCGTCTGACTCAGAGAATAAAATTATCAAAAGAACTCGCAGAATATTAATTCGTCGCTCATTATTGTCGGCAATCATTACTCAACGTGATTCAAAGGCTAAAGAAATTCGAAGAAAAGACAACATTCCTATGGCATGATATTCCAGGTCGACAGACATCAGAGACTTTTACCGTCGTTTTGAAATTTCTCACATTGTGTCATATAAATCGAAAGATATTTTTCACAATAATGAAAAGCAAAAATTTAATACTCATTTTAACGATGAAATAATTATCATTCCTAGAATAAACAATGTAATTGCAACCTAAGTATTAACACAAGAGTAATAAATATTATTTGAAATTTGAAAAAATAACAGATTATCTGTGATTATTATTCTAGTTAATCTCTGAAATAATATATCCTATAAATCTGGAGGCTATCACATAAAATTGTCACGAGAAACAGATTCTTTTAAAAAATATACATATATTACAAAATTATATGACAATATAAGAATAAGTATAAAATTGCATAAATAATAGAAATATAATGTTCCTAATAAAATGTATAATAAATAATGGAAGTATAATATTTGCATATTTATTAATATTTATTAATGTAGTAATTTTTCACTTTATGTAATTTCACATATTTTTTATCATGTTTTTTTATCGTCTTTTTATCTAACCTGGACATTGAAACAAAATCTAATAGTATCATGTGCTAGCCTTTATATGAAATCGCTTTCCCTCTTGGTAAAGCGTGAAAGATCAAATTATTAATTATACACGGTGAATTTCATGCAGTATTTGCTTCTTTACTTTAGTACTTTCGCGATTAAATGTATAATATATATACATATAATTTTATATAATATATATATTATTTTTTCGTTTTTAAAAATTGAAAGTACATGGCTAACATAATGCAACGTTTTTATGCAATGCAAAGTCACAAGAATATTCTTCGTATTACACAACCCAGCAGATTTAATTATAAACGTACGCACGAGGAAAAATATCAATTCTTTACATAAGGAAATATGTGACATTTAAATCTTTCCGTTTCCTTGTATAATTCTTCTTAGGAATATCGTGAGCTCAATGATTTCTGCGTATTTACCTATTATATTTTCATATTTTCATTTCTTCTTAGAAATATTTTGATCAGACAATTCTCAATGTATTTAATAATATATTTTGCGCACTGTTTCAACTGCACAAATATCCTCTTTTATTTAAAAATATTTCCACGATTCTGATGTTAAAAAGCGAATAAAGGAAAAAAACAACGGAATGTTGGTGAATTCTTGAAAATAAATTTTCGTCGATTTTAATATATTTCTTTCGCAATCCAATTGATTATTTTCAACGCTTTATCTTGCGTTTTTTTATGTTGGCAAATTTTTTCCCCTTCTCTGACTCACCTCGCTCTCGCGGCTCAATCTCCTAAAAAGCTCATCGCTCTCGAATTTGGTCTTCTGATCAGGTACGACACGCGGCATCTTGAAAACGAGCCGGGGCGGCCGCGGCTGTTCGTACAGACCCATCCCGTCGAAGGGTAGCACGCCGACACCGGCATGCTCGCTCATTGCGTGCATCATCCTCGTTGTCGCGAGTTAACTGTGCCTCCTGGACGATATCTCTTTCTCCTTCGCTTCGCGGACGCGACGACCTCGGTTGGTCCCAACTACCACTGTGCTAGTCGCGCTGGTTCCTCGCGAGAAAATAATCAAGGGTGAAAATAGTCGCTCGAGTAGACGAGATACGAGGACCTTTTTGAACTTGCTCTCGCTCGCTCCACGATGCTACGATCCTAGATATCTGCGAGGAAAGACACTCCGACACTCACGACAACGATCCACACGTTGCACTGTCTCGATAGAGACTGAAGTGCCGGGAAACGGAAGGCCCCTCGTGTTGGGTCTCGCTCGTACCCGGGAATCCGACACGCCCCGAGACCGCCCCTCGATTCTCTCGCTCTCCCACCGTTGGAATCATGGGCATCTCTCGACCGTTTATCCATCTAGCCAGCCAGCCCGATTCTCGATTCAGCCCTCCAGAGCTATCGTACACCCGGAACGGGGCGAGCTCGCGCACCCCGAACGTGTCGACGCCAAGAGGGTGAAAGCTTGCCCAGCAATCTGGTCTCATGATTTTATAAATGGTGACGGGAGAACGTTGGTCGCTCCTGGATTCGACGGGATGTTTATTTTCAAAGCGCCTCGAAGCGTGCCTTATTTTCTTTTAAACGCGGAATAAAATCGAATGATACATGAGATTATATATATATATATATATATATATATATATATATATCGATAATAAAATATGATATTATACAATTTTTGAAAATACTCCGTTTTATGAGAGTCGGAGAATTCTCACTTACAAGTTGTTCACACATTGTTTATCATAAAATAATCTTTAATCTAGAATTCTAGACACAATCTTAAACACATTCTTTAATTAATCTAACAATTAAATGTAAATTATCCGAGAATTAAGAGAGAATTCTGGAACCTTCATATTCACATTTTTGAAAGCATATTACTTTATAAAAGATTATTTTTAGAAACTGTCGACATCTCTGGATATTTCTACAAAAAGAGAATCGAATCTAATAGCCGAAGAATTTAGACATGAAATTTTTTTCCTTTCATGAAAAACACCCATAAAATGTTTTCTCTTCTGCATTGTGTCGATGATGCACGCCTGCATAAAAGTACAGGGATTGGCTGACCCTAGAGATATGTGTCGAACGAAGGATGGGGCAAAGGGGGATGCCCAATTCGGCAACCGAATGTCTACTTAGGTAGTGTAACGCTGAGTATCCCCTCGAGGTAAGAGATCTCCATCGTCTCTCGAGAGAGAGAAAGTGGCGGGGCTCATCCATTTGAGAGGCTCATTGTCAAAGATCCGCGCGCGATTAAGATCAACGACCCTCCGGCGAGCGCACGATCCATGGAAATATCTATGTATCCTTTTTTCCTCTCCCTTTTTATCTCGCTCTCAGCCGCCGACGTTGACAATATTACTCCAGTTCTCCAATTTCACCGTTAACCCTGCTGTTCCGTTCATTTCCCGCGCACATTCGATACATTCGAGCATAAATCGAGGCATCTATAAATCTTCATTCTTTTTTCATAACTAAAAAATTTTAAATTAATAAGAAAGTGCAATGAAAGGCTCATATGATATAAATAAAAAAAAGCAATAAAGGCAGAGCTCTAAAGACAGGTAGAATTGTGTGAAAGAATTTTTTAACAAATTATAAATTGTATTAGAAATATACAGTTATTTACAATTTTTCGCATATTACACATACTGCCAATTAAATATACTCCTGTACAGTTATTTACAATTTTTCGCATATTACAAATACTGCCAATTAAATATACTCCTGAACAAAATTAACGCATAATTTTTTTTCACTTTTTCTTTAAAAGCTGATATTTAAATTTTAACGAAAAATTTTAGTATATCATTGTGACAGATTATTTATAATTAGTTAAAATTTCTTTCACACACTTCCACCTATGTCTAGGCTCTTTGCCTTTATTGCTTTGCGTTTTCAATAAATTTTAATTTTTAAAAGTTTGAACACAAGTACGTTCGTTTATTTTAAAAATAAAAGGTAATGATAAGACAAACGGATAAGATTTAAATTATCGTTTACTATCTAACTTTCGTTCGCTAAATTTTATTAATTTATAATATTAATTATTTTATTTGTTTTATTCATTTATATGCGGACTATTATTTATCTACAGATTTTCTACATTTTTTTACAACATAGTTCAAGTAGAAATACGCAACATCACACGTAAACCGAAAAGCTGAATAATTTATAATCGCAAAGAATAAATTACTATTTGGATGTGTATTGATTTTAAGCAATTCTTTTTCATTAGAGGGATGCATTTCCAGCTTTTAAGCAATAAAAGCGTGAAATATTTCTTAAATAGAATACATGTGGTCAAGTCTGAAAAAATACTATGAACTTCCGCAGGTAGGATAAACTTCCTCAGTAGTAACAGTAGAGACCTTTTTTCTTCTCCTTTTATGATATTTTACATGCCACAATTCAAAAAAAGATAAACTTTAGTTTTATAGATGCTTTGTGTTTTATTGCTGTTTTCCGCAATACCGCTATTCTCTCTTATACTTTCTCTTTTCCGTTTCTTATAAAATCTTATTTTCTCTTTCGACCGAGATCACACTTAGAATTAAACTTTTTAATCTCTGAAAAGATTTAATACGCTTTATAAAAAACTAATTTTTAAAATTTTTAGATTTTTTCATTTTAAATTTTTTAAAATTGTTTCAATCTCTTTCGAAATCGTACGCATCGTTTTTCGCGTGTCACTCGCATGAATATAAAACGTGGTGAAAGGAATTTCACGCGCGTGTCTCGAACGGGAAGAGCAAATCTCCGCCTCCCATCGTGCATTATTGGTCCAGCGGTTTCGCCAATCGCAACCTCCCGACACGAAGGGAGAAAATACACGCGTGATGCACACGGACGCGTATGACACGTAGTTGCATAAAATGTTGCTCGAGCAAGCAGAATAAAGAAGAACATGACTCGATGTAGATCCGTTTACCTATCGTTTCGATTACTATCGACAGATTAGCTTTTCACCTTCTTCTCATTTCTACATAAACATATGTATGTATCTATGTATGTGTATTAATAATATAAAAAAATCTTTAATTCTCAAATTTATAATCTCACTCAAAGAAATCTGTTCTGGGATTTTGTGACGTCAAATCTGTGGAATATTGCGATCTCGATTAAGTAACTCTAATTAAACATGTGTTGAAATTTTGTAATCACAAATATAGATAATATGATATTGATAAAAATTAAATTTAAATTACGTAATCTCAATTTTATCATATTTGACATATGTATATTTTTGCACCATCAAAATTTACTTACATAAGATACGTTATTTATTACTTAAATAAAAAATGAAAAATGTTTTAATTGTATAACTCCAAAAAAACGATTATAATTACTCGGAAATTATTAATTGGATTAATAATATTCCTCGACTCTCAATAAAATTCGCGTGTTTCTCGCGCGTCGAAATGCGACGAAGATCGATATCGTAAAGCATCACGATGTTTCCGTTGCCAGAGAAACTTGGAAACTAGCGCTATACATTGTAAACATCCTCGCGCGATTAAATATGCAGGATGTCGAGCCGAGGAAAGACACTATGCGAGGATGAGCCTTCCTGGCGACGTAGAGCGTATGAGCGTCATCGTTCTAGAGTGAGTATTCGTGTGAATAATAAATTTAAATCTTTCTTTCCTTAATGGAATCTGCTCAATATGTTATCGGTCAATGTCTCCTTCATTGCACTCTCGGAAGCTTCAACAATTCGATAAAAGCTCAAATGTTGCCGCGGGAATAACTAAAAACAATTGCAGAGTAATTAAATATTTGACGATAGCTAAACATGATTAATAATACATAATTTTATTCTATATTCATTATATATCAGATAAAAAATTTTTTTAAATAATTATATACTTAATTCACATATATAATATATATGTATGAATATTATTTAAATATTATTTTTTTTCTAAACTAATCACACATTTGTCACCTTTTAAAACGTCGTTAGATTTTACAGTAATATGCATATATTATTATTTTTGTAGGTAAAGTCAGCCAGACCGACTGTAGATGTGAAACCTCCGGAGGGCAGACCTCACGTTTCGTTCAACGCAAAAAGATTGCAATTGGAACGCGAACGTCAGACTCGTATTCTCAGGGACAATTTTATTCTATTGAAAAAACTTCGCGAAATCATGCACCGGAAACGACAGATCGCGGAAGATACTCAACGGGTTCAGTGGCAGGAATCCAGATGCGTGAGGACTCGTTAAAAAGAAACGAGACATCGACGAGAAATATCTTTATAATTTTTTCGATCACAACATTTGTGCTTTATGTATGTGTTTGTATTTTATTTGTAATGGAAAAATTGCGTAATGTAAATGCAATTATTTATTCGACTTTAATTAATCTTTGATATATATTAGACTTTTTCTAAAGGAAGTACATGTGTTTATCTAATGCATAAAATTCTAATAAATTTTTTCGGAACATTTCTAAGATTGTACTTTTGCCTTTTTTAAAATTTCAAGATGGAACATAATCGACTTGCAAAAAAAATTGTATTAATAATTCGATTTCTTTTCCTATGATGTATTTTTAAGCGTAAATTATACAATATTTACAATCTTTTTTAAATATAATATTCCCGTCTTATGTATCGAATAATTGTTTTATTTAATCGATTTAATTTTATTATCTATATCATAACAAATTTATTAAATTAATCCAAGCCATAAATTAAAAATTAAATTGATATTCGTTGCGCACAATCATGCATCATGTTGGAAGTGAAATCGATACATACCGATCTATGTCATCGAATTGTCACAAAAGGTTAGATTTTGCTACTAATTTTTTTGCTAAACAACGGTAAAAAATATAAGTATCTTCTATTAATATATTATTGCAAATTAACTTTACATAAGTTTATAACTATTGCATAAAGTTTTATTTATAAAAAATATCAGAAGTGAGCTATAAATTTTGTAATAATTTAAAATAATTACTAATTAATCTTTTACCACACAGTTCACACGTAGTCTTTGATATTAGTTATGCAATAGCGTAAACACTAGTTTACGTATGATATCGAATAAATAAATAAGATGAATTCGCATACATACGTTCTTAGCTATCTCTCTGAAGCAAACAAATGGAAGAGGAAAATAATGAACCACTCGTCCTGACACGCAATGAAGCCGAAAATTGTTTGCGTCTTTTGGAGGAATTCAATTCACAATCAAACATCTCTTATTGGGAAATGGACGTCTCGAACAAAAATTTGACGAATATAAGTGTGATATCGCAATTCTATTATATTCGAAATGTAAATTTATCGGGAAACAGACTGACATCAGAGGCATTGCGAGTGCTCGAAAGGATGAATCTAGTCGAGTTGCTAGCGGATCGAAATCGTTTGATTACAGCGGAATTAAAGCCGATGAAATGTTTGCAGGTGATTTTACAGATGACGTAAAAATCGTCATTTTCGTAAACATTACCGACTATCTTATGAAGCGACAGATTTACTTACTATAATAAGATGATTTCGAAAATGCAGAGACTCACTTTGAACCACAACAGGTTGACACAGGTTGTTAGTACGTCTGTCATTTCTCATCCTTCACTTGAACATCTGGAACTAAAGAACAATCTTATTAGTATTGTCAATCTTCAACTTCCAAAGTTAACAAGCTTGGAATTACGGGACAATGCAATAACTACTATAGCAGGTAAAATGGATACAAAATTTGAAAAACGTGCAAATTTATCCCTAAAGTTAAAAATTCAATAGAATGAAAAAAATTTCAAATTCTAAATGATTAGAAATTCAACGAATACTTATATTTACTTCTTAAAGGAATCTATTGTGAAAATCTGCGACAGCTTTTTCTGGCTAAGAATCAGATCAAAAAGATTGAAAATTTTCAATATCTCCCAAGCTTACAGAAGTTACACTTGCGAAGTAACCAGCTCGCGAATCTAGACGGTTTCTCTGCCACATGTCTCAATTTAAAGTACATAAATCTGCGCGATAACAAAATCTCGAACATTTCAGAGTTGGCGAAGCTAAGCTGTCTGTCAAATCTGGAAACGCTTATTATTTTAGAAAATCCTTTTTTACAAAAAATCAAAGAACAAGAGGAAAGAAAATACAGGCATATTGTTCTGATGATGCTTCCCAACTTAAAAAAGATCGATAAGATTTTTGTTAACGATGAAGAAAAAAATCAAGCAAACGAATTGCTTAAAAAAATTCAGGAAAAAGGATATGGCTTTACAGATTTCGATTTGGAAGGTTTCGATTTGAGAGATTAAAGATTGAGAATATTAGTGTAAATTGAGAATCGAAATCAAAGTGAAGAAATTAAAATTCTACTCCATAATATGAGACATAATTTCACAGCTTAATTTTAACAATTATATTTTTTTCGGTTAATATTTATTTAAAATAGATTTTTTATATAATTTTATAATTTCTCCTATTTATAATTTAAACTACATCAAAATGATTATCTACGAATTTATGTTTAGTATGTGTTAATAAAGTGAAATATTTTTAAAAAATTTAACTTTCTTGGAAAAACTGTATGTGTATGAATAATTGAAGAGACACTTGATATTTGAGACATCTTGTATAAATCATTACATAACCAACTAAGGCCATCTGGCGATAAAAATATCGACTAAATAAAAGAGATAAATGCGAGTGTTATACATTTTTGTCGCGAGATGGTCCTAGCAGTAAAAATGGGCGGCAAAAAAATTAACGGATTCCTTTAAAATTCCTAAAATCCCGTAAAGATTGTTACATCATGAAAATATCATAGAAATAATTATTATACAATGATAAAATGATAAATTATCTCGAAATATTCGTATTAATTATATATTTAGCTAATAAATATTAATAATAAGTAAAAAAAAATTCTTAAACAAGCCAATTGCAAAGGATCGATTAAACAGCCATATTTATTAGAAAGAGATAAACGATTGAATTCCATTATTGCGCGTTAGCGATTTCGCAGACACCTCTTATCTAAATATGGAATTTATTCCAACGATACGAAAAAGTGTAAGCTATTATCACGAAAAAATCTCATAATTGCTAATTTTCCGGTTTAATATACATAACAACGGATAAATCCAAATATCTTTATCGTTTGTCTCTTTCTAAATATGGCTGCTTAACCGATCTACCTCGTCCGATGCGAGAATCGTGATTTAATCGCGAATACGTGACAAAATACAGCGAATAACGTTCAACAGTAATAATGACGTTGATATTACTTATTTATGGACAAGAATAAACGTAATAAGCGTACCTGTATCCAATATTTTTCCACTTCTTTATTCCGCGACACTCTCGCACTTTCACCGGTAAAAATCGCGACGAAAACTGAACGGCGGCAAATACGAATTTTCCCATCACGTGACCGCGTCGCGCGCCGCCGCGGAGAGACGCGGAATCACCCCGTCACGTGACCCGCGTCGCGCGCCGTCGCGGCGAGACGCGGAATCACCCGGTCACGTGACTGCGCCGGCAAGACTCGAATCGATCACGTGGTCGGCGCGTTTTATCGCCGGCACTCCGAGCAATAGGTTATCGGACTCGTGTTCTCCTCTCTCACTCGTCCCGCAGCCGCCAAATCGAACGTATTGCATCGAAGCACCATGTCCAACAAACCCGCGTACAAAGTCGGTAAGCGATGATAAGTGAACGAACGAACGACGTGAAAGTTTCAAGAGCGACAATGAACGCGAAACGAACACGTGCTCGCGAAACAACGTGAAGTACTCGCCTTTTCGAGACTGCGAGCGAGATGTCGCGTTCGGTGCGTATTATTGCGTGATTAAATCCGCGCAAAAATATGCAAAATACTTGAATCTTCGGTTTACTTGGAGTGCGTTATTTTTGTCCGATGTTTTTGTCGCTATCGCCGAAAATTTCTAACAGAGTAGTATAATTTTTATATAATTACAAAAAATTGTTAAAATAAGATTAGTTTATTGATGATATTATATATGATTAATGGTAAAATAATTAGTTCAATTCTTTATACACACTACTCGGTATATACTACTCTGCTATATTTTTAATAAATCTTTATTTTCTAATAATTTTTTCTTCTAATAACTTTTCTATACAAGTATGTGATTATCTGTATTATCACATAATTATAATAATATATAATTATGTATGTATGTATACATAATTATGTACATATATATAATTATACATGTATAACAATTATGTATATTTTTTATGCTATTCTAATATTTTATCAATAAACTTGACTTGCTTGAAATAAATCTTTCAATTATTAATAGCCGATCTTTCTTTGGCGGAATGGGGTCGCAAGGAGATCACCTTGGCCGAGAACGAGATGCCAGGACTCATGGCCATTAGGAAAAAATATGGGCCACCAAAGGTACTTAAGGGTGCACGAATTGCTGGCTGTCTTCACATGACTGTACAGACTGCAGTGCTGATTGAAACTCTAGTAGAACTTGGTGCAGAGGTAAACATTGAAAAGATGTACTTTTCTAAGGGAACATTATAATGAATTAATTGGCATGCATGATAATTCTTGATGTAATGTCTAATTATAATTAACGATAAATGAAATTTCTGATTATTCCAATATTTATATATTCTTAAAGAGCAGATAAAGATATAATGTCATCAATGACTAATTTTCATATTTTTAAAAGTATAATGGAATTGATAACAGAATAGATAATCTTTTTCTTGCATCACTTTTTTTACTTAACAATAAAGGATAATATAAAATAGACATTAGAATGAAAAAAGATTCTGCATTTCAAATAGTTTTTTGTCTGTCAACTTGAGAATATGTACAAAAGGCTTCAATAATGTTATGATTATTTAAATATTTTTAAGCTTATCTATTCACAAGAATAAATTACAGCTTTTATTTATAAGAAGAAACTGAATACATTTTCATAAAATAAAAATTGGTCATATCTAGAAATACACTTACTGAAAAATTAAATTTCTAATAATCTAATATTTGGAAATTAAAGTTCAACAAAATTATTCTTGTATCATAGGTGCAATGGTCGTCCTGCAATATATTCAGCACCCAGAATCATGCAGCAGCTGCTATAGCGAAAACCGGAGTACCAGTGTACGCTTGGAAAGGTGAAACCGACGAAGAGTACATCTGGTGCATAGAGCAGACTCTCGTTTTTCGAGACGGTAAGCCACTCAATTTGATTCTCGATGACGGTGGCGATCTGACCAACCTCGTACATACCAAGTACCCACAGTATCTCGAGGAATGTCGTGGTATATCCGAGGAGACCACCACTGGAGTGCACAATCTTTACCGTATGATGAAGGAGGGCACGCTCAAAGTGCCGGCGATTAACGTTAATGACTCTGTTACGAAGGTTTGTGATTATGATTAAGCAAGTTTATGAATGTGATTAGTTCTAACAATATATAATTAGATTCAAATAGTCACCATACTCTATCAGTTGAGATAATGTGCTGTGTAAAGATAAGAAATTACGATAAAAAGTACGAGTGTTTTCATTTGAAAAGAGTCTAATATAATGATAAAGTAAACATTTATGTTAAATTTTTCATTGTTATATCAGAAGATATTTTTAAAAAATCTAAATTTTTACTGAATTAATAAAAATAATTAAAATAAATAATATACACAAACAATAACACAACAAAATTAACTCTATTATTAACTAAATAATTTTATATTTTTGATAGAGTAAATTCGACAACTTGTACGGATGTAGAGAATCATTGATAGACGGTATTAAGAGAGCGACCGACATTATGATCGCCGGCAAAGTATGCGTGGTGGCGGGATACGGAGATGTCGGCAAAGGATGTGCACAGAGTCTCAGAGCTTTCGGAGGTCGCGTTATTATCACAGAAATTGATCCAATCAACGCACTTCAAGCAGCTATGGAAGGATACGAAGTAAGAAAGATTCTAAATTTAAAAAATTATATCAAACCGGCGTTTTGATCATTTATTGTGCGTCCTCTATTACAAATTATGAGATTAATAAATTTCAAAATTAAATGTGAATGTAAAATTGAAAATTTCTACTTCAATTTGAGCTATTGCGAGTTTAAATAGATTTATAAACATCAATTTTCTTCCATTCGCGCAATTTTCAAAATCATCAATCAAGTATTATCGTATTCTCGTAATTTTCAGGTAACGACAATGGATGAGGCGTCTACAAAAGGTCAGATATACGTGACCACTACAGGATGTAAGGATATCGTGGTGGGTCGACATTTTATGAATATGCCGAATGACGCTATTGTCTGCAATATAGGGCATTTTGATTGCGAAATCGACGTCACTTGGCTAGAGAAGAACGCTGTGGAAAAGATTAATATAAAGCCACAAGTGGATAGATACCATTTGGAGAACGGCAGGTATGTGTGTATAAGATTACGAAATCGAACCTGAATGAATTTTTATCTTTTATAATTAATTGAATTGCATCGTTCTTAGACATATTATACTACTCGCGGAGGGTCGTTTGGTAAACTTGGGATGCGCGATGGGTCACTCGAGCTTCGTCATGAGCAATTCGTTTACAAATCAAGTGCTCGCGCAGATCGAACTCTGGACAAAATCGAATCAGTATCCGATTGGCGTACATATGTTGCCGAAGAAACTGGACGAGGAAGTTGCGGCATTACATCTGAATCATCTGGGTGTAAAGTTGACGACTCTGACACCAGAACAAGCCAAATATTTAGACGTATCTGTGGAAGGACCTTATAAACCCGATCATTACCGATATTAGTCGGAATCTATCACGAGCGAGAATATTTACACAGGAAATAGTAAATTGTTCTTGTTATAATTATATAACTGATTCTTTACAAAATGGGGATTAACAATGTATCCAATTTTATACAATATTGGATTAAATGCATATATATTAAAATTTGTCTCTTTTTGTAATCTCTATGATAACGAATCGATAGTAATTTAATTCTTAATACTTAAGGATTATCTTGATTTTTAATTATTTGATTGTAACTATCTTTCTTTTCATCCTTGATTATAAATTCGCAATTTTCGGAAAAAAAAATCATATTGATACAACAAAAGAAAATGTATTCTTTTTTTCATAACAATAACTATCACAGATCATAATTATATACAATTTCGCCTATATTATCTATATTTTAAATAGCATTGAGTTCTCTTGCAAGCAATGACAGCCGCATCCCGTAGGACATATCGTCTCTTTAGTAAACCACGCAGCTAAATGCTCAATATGTCCACCGTGACCGCAAAATATGCAGAAATTACTCGCACCTAGATTTTTAGACGATCGAAATCTTAATTTTATGTTTCGCAAAAAATTTATTATTTGTTAGAAGTGATACGAACCTCTGACTGTGACGTGGCACACAATACATTGAAAACTCAAACCCTTGCAGTTCGCGCATTGTGGACCTTGACTAATCTTATTGCAGAGCCGACACTCGTTCTGCAATTCCACGCCCTTTTGCACGTCGAACGGCGACGCACTTAAATGTTTTAATACTTGCGCCCGACCATCCAACAACTCCCATCTGTGCAGTGCTTCAGCATATGATTTCTTGTAACCATCGTATAGTGCCGTATATTTCTCGTCGAGCAATCTGCAAACAAGATATATTTGGTTACATTAAAAATTGCAATATACATAAGCGCAAAGTATCGAAGTTTAAAAATTGTTTAATTTATGTTTATATAACTTACTTAATGTTCTTCGCCGAATCCCCGAACGTGTCTTGAATAACTTTTAAGTCATCAAGCGATTCTGACCACGAGTTGGACCGATGTTGTTTCTGAAGATTCTGAAAATTCCATCCCTCCATCGTGGTATCTGCTAGATGGATGGTATGATAAGGCGAGCCACCGGGCTACAAAGAATAATCGAATAAAACAGGTTCATTTATATATAAATAATCTATATTAACGTTAATTATTATTTATGTACAAATCTTTCATGATCAGGGTTATCATTAATGAATAAAATATATGTGTGAGCTCTCTGTAGATTGTTTATCTATGTGAAATATATGCATAATTAATCATAGCAAACAGCACACATTGTTTAACCACCAACTGCGATTTGCTACAAGCGATACACATGTTAATTTGTTTTTTTTTCCTCATCAATCACACCTATACAAGTGTGTACAGGTTTGCATCCAGATTTTAATCAGACGCAGCGAGCAAATCTGCATGTGTGGCATAGTGACACTTTCCAGTCCGATGCTCAGAGGTGAATGTAAGATATCATATAAGAGAGTCCTAAGAACCAGAAAATTTTGTTTTGAGAACAGAATTCAGAGATCTTACCTTTAACCACCATTTTCCTGTGGAAAGCCTCTATAACAAAACGTAACATATTATATCGTTAGCCATGATGTATGTAATTGTAGATAACATAAAAGATACGTCGGTATAGTATAATTTATATTTATTACATGTATGAAATAATGTAGATCCTTAAGTTGAAATTTTATTCACTGCACGTATTTTCTAAGATTTTCTTTAAAACACATTTTTTTATAAACACTAATAAATGTGTATAACACACTAATATAATGTGTTTTTTATAAAACACATTTTTTTATAAACACTAATTACTAAATTATTCGAATTATGTTTTCAATATATCTCACTAATATCGTTTATGATCAAATATATATACCATACCGTCGTATTTTTGTGTATCAAATTACAAATACAAATGACAAAACACCATGTATTCCCTCATGCATCGGAAGAAAGAGACATGTGCTGTGCATAAAAAGATGTCTTCCTTCTTATTAAATATACGAGGAACGCTTACGAATAGAAGACAAAGATGTGTTCACTAAACATATATACATAATTTTTTTCATTAATTTTGCAGGATATCAGTGCTGCTCCACATTAGGTAAAGTTTTTAACACATGGCACAACTAAATATTTTAATATATTTTTTTACTCTTTCGCACGAATTATATACTTACACTGACATTCACGGATTTGCTAATCAGCTTGGTTTGTGCAGCATCTGTGTTCTCCGATCGATAGCTAAGTGCGCAGCTTAACATACCGGCCATTTGAACATCAGATTGGTTAGCATAATGTTGTATTCTGAACAAAAGTACAGAATAATCAATTGCAGATTAATATATCACAATTACTCGATTGATAATTAAAATTGCATTTCTATAAAAAAAGCATATGTACATATATGCAACAATGTAATTAAAATTTCTTTTAATTAAAATTAATCTTTTTAAAATCTTTATTTTTCGATTTTTACTGTCTTGATGTTTAAAATAAAATGTTAATGGAAAAAATATATATATATATATATATATATCCAATTTATTATATGAATTTAATCTGTTCTTTTTTATGTGTATAGCTTAAAAATATATGTATACACATATAGTTTTAATATGCAATGACGAGTAATCATGTAAATATTTAACGACTTGCTTACAGAGAATGAATTAAGTGTTGGCCCCAGGGATGTAAAGGCCATGGAGCGTCGATATCAGAAGATTGGCCCGATTGGCAAGAGTTGTGCTCGGTATTGGAAGGTGGCTGTGAAATGATTAGGCCAGCTAAACACCAAGTTTGAACTAAATCAGATCGTTCCAGTGTAGCAGCTACGTTCGCGTTATACTGACACATGGCGGGAATATCAGCTGTATTGATTCTATAAAGAGAATAATAAAATTATTATAATAAATTATTATAATTATTAAATTATTATAATATTTTATAGATTTTTTAAATATGTCGCGACTATCGAACACTATGTAATCATCATACTCACGTGTATTTCTCGGCGAGCTCCTTATTAACAAAGAATAACGATGATATGTCGTATATCATAACCATTGGGTGATAATTTTTAAAGTATGATCGATCGTGCATTCTACCCGTGCCATGCAATCCACGACGGAGATCTTTCTGCTAATGTTAGAATTATTAATATATATATAAAATAATCATGCACAATTTGCTTTAAATGAGATTGGCACAAATTATTATGAGATGTCAAATTTTACTCAATAACACATATATGTATATACAAATTTATATGAAATAAAATAAATATTGCACAAATAAATTGAAAATCTTTTTTAAATTAACGGAGTATATAAATACATAACAAAAAATACTATTACATTTATTTTTCATTATATTTTTAAGACCGATAAAGTATCAATATTATCATTTTATAATTTTATAATTCTATTTATGCCACTCTTATTTTTATCGATTCAAATATGCCTTACCCGATCTTGGAAGTAATACGAGCTAATAGACATATTGTCATTGGTCGGTACATAAGAACTTCGGTACATATGCATAAAAGGTTCGCCATTACCCATGCTATTGTCCAAGGCGGACAGTGCCCTGGGCGTTGCGTCTCCCGGTTTCATCAACGATCTTCTCGTATATGAGGGACGGCCGAAACAAACGAGGATACCTGTAGAATCGAAAAAATACACCAAATTAAATATCGTAAGATGATATCAAGCAATATACGCACCTACACAGGAAAACTTGGCGCCGGACGTTCTAGGGAATGGTATATAAGAATCCTGATAATTTGCACAGATATTGGACGAGCTCAAAAAATTGCTGTTATCCTGCATGTGATACGCCAAGTGACCGCTCTCATCTTCATCCTTCTTGCACATCTGCACACACGATAAAGAGATCAATATTTTTATTCGATTATGTTAATTTGGCAAAAAATACAAAACTTTCTTACTTGTTCTAGACTTATAATTAGCTGTCGAAGACATGGTTCCAAACACGATCTGTTCTTCCTGACTCGATGCTGAGCGGTTTGCGTAAGAATCTTCAGCAGTTTGGTCATCATCGCGTTGTCGATCGATGTGCCAGGACAAAATTGAAAGGTAGGTTGCGCGCTGCATGGATAATTCACGGGAAAATTTACTTTTAATATCACATTGTAATTCTTCGTGCACGCAGTTATGGTACAACTCCTTTCCGTCGCGTCCATGGCGTTTACCTGGAATAAAGTTAAATTGTGTTAATCACTTCATTTTTATCTTATGTAAAATAATCTTCCGAATTACCTCTATATTTGGTATATTCATATTTATCAAGGAAAACTCCTGCTGCAAACTCTTTGGTTGAGTGGGAGATGAGACTTTCTTGGAATTGTCTGGAAAATTGGCCATTTCAGATTGCGGCACAGGCTCGTTCACTTTAGTCGTTATATAATTTATCTCAGGTTCACTCTGGGAAGTGTTAAGCTGTAATTCTTGGACGGATTGCAAAGTTCCTAGAAAGATATCCGTCGCATTACAATTTTCATAAAAATATTGCAATGTGCTTTGCAATCTCTTATACACATACTTAGATTGTTTTCTTCAGAATATTGACTGTAGACTGACAAACCATCTTCGATACCATTACTGCATAACTGAAAATGACGAGAGAAACGTTACTATTATCTGCAATTTTTATAATCACGAAACTATATAAAGACAATATTTTTTATTAATAATTCTTACTTTCTTTATAAAGGGATTAATTTTAAATATCCTTAGACACTGATCTTTGGACCATGTAACAAGTTCAAATTCGCTGTTTTCTATAAACAAATAGGGATAGAATTGTAATAATGTACATATTTTATATTTTTATAATTTTTAGCACACATTTGAACTATACCTAATTTCAGATGTCGCCATTGAAATTCGAGTACAACATCTGTGTGGCCTACAAATGTGTAAATTGGTGCACTGAGATTCGAGGTGTTCCATAGCAAAAGACTGTTTTCTCCACGACGCAACTGTGGTACCACTATTGTTACTAAACCTTCTCCAAAAGGCTGTAAAAGTTCATCAAGTGATACATCATATGTATGATTTATTATATGTTTTGATGTATTATAAGTATTATATAGAAATTATATAGAATTACAATAAATGAGAATAGTTCAACATGTATTCTTACTGTATATCTCGCTCTCCATACGGGAGAATTTGTTGTCAAGATACTCTCGGCCCTGCGCGGGTTGGTAATATCGAAGATCTTGACAGTGCAATCTTGACTCGATGTTGCCAATTGATTTTGTTGAAAGGGACACCAATCTAAACCGTGTATCTAAAATCACTTTGATTTTGATACTTTTTCACAAAAATTATTCGAGATACAAGTATAACATATAATTATAAATATAATAAAATATACTTTGGTCAAGTGTGCTGTTATATATTGCACAGGACTTGTTGCTTTTCGCTGATCCCATATTTTGACATCTCCATCATGCGCTGTAGCTAAAGTATATAATGATAATGGATTCCAACGCACTTGAGATGATCCTACTGTAAGGAAGATATAAAAATGCTTACTTTTGTTCCAAAAAGTTTATGCTTCATTTTATTATGCTTCAATCTTACCAACAGCAGACAGAGACAAACAAGGTTTTCTGTGATCACGTATGTCCCAGATATGTATAAATGTGTCAATACTGCAAGAGGCAATGATATCTGGTTCTTTTGGATGCCAATTTAGATCGCTAACTACACGAGTATGAGCTTTCAGACTTTGTGTGGTCTGCAATTCATATCCTCCTGCTCCATTAAAGTTCAATATTTCAATTCGTGTGTTACTCTAAAATAAAAAAAAAATTCTTTAAAATAAAATAGGACAATACATATATCTCTTCCATATCTCACAAATAATATATCATGAATAATATATCAGCAAACACGACATCTAAAAGTGTCTTAATGATGTATTATGTCATTAAAATGTCATTAAAATATTATTAAGATGTATTTATAGACATCATCATGTTTGTTGGATAATTTTTGTTGACAATATCTGTCTATATATTTATATAAAAAAATCTATACATAAAATCTTACAGAAATTGCGCACAAGTGGCAATTTAAATCAGATGGGTTCCATTCGGCAGAGCTAACTTCATATTTACTCTGTCGTTGGAATTTCTTCACCGCATTGACATCCTCATCCAAATGTTTTACTGCCAAATATCTGCGCCTAAAGTAAACAATATAAAATAGTCATGAAAAATCATATAATATAACGATAGATAATTTTTGTCGCATTAAATATTTGCAATGTAATTCTTTTAGTTTGAGAAATTAATTTCTTTAACAGTGCAGTAATTCGAGGCATGCAACATTATTTGCTCCACAAATATTGAGAGTGCGATACCGATGACTTACCCGGCTAACAAAACATAGTTGCCGGTCGCATCCACAGCCATGGTGTTCGCCTAAGTAATAAAAAAGGACACGTAAACACTCGCATTTTCTTTTTTCGTGATAATAAAAATAGCGCTCTATTATTTCTAACGAAAGCTCCTCGCTTTTCTTTTTTACTGACCTGTAAATCACGATGCTCGGTGACCACATAATCGCTATTCCGTTTAGACATTTTAACAACAAACGTTTGTTATTTCCCTCAGCATCATGCGTCGAGGTTAGTCTTATGCCAAACACAGCCTGATGCGCGCGCTGCGGTTGAATTAAGCGTACCTACACAACCTTACCATACATTACAAACACATATACACACGTATGACGTAGTATGAAAATATTTCGAAATAATCTGAAACATGTTGAAAAAATATCTCGAATTGTTCTCGAGTTCTTTCATATCTACGCTCTCTTTTTCTCTTTCTAAATCTTTAATCTATATCGTATTCTAAGTATAATATCGTGGCTCTCTAATTAATTTATAATGACATTTTATGACATTGGAAAGAATGTAAAAAAAACGCTTTGTTCAAATTACATTTTTCGCGACTTTATTCGTGTCCATATAAAGTCAGAATATAGCTGTCTCATTTTAAATACGAGGCCGAGACCGTGTAATGTTTCTCTTTTCGGATGAGAAAAACACTGGTCACGGTATCGCGCTCGCGCTGCGAGCGCGTCACTCATACATGCGTGCACTGACGTAACGCGATTGGCCGCACCGTTTCTCATCGCAAGCGGGCGAGCGAGCGAGCGAGAAAGAGAGAAAGAGAGAGAGAGAGAGAGAACGATAAGGTCTTGCGCTTTTGCGATGCTATTTCTGTCACATGTATGTATACACGCACACAGCCGTCGTATACGTGCATCACGCATACATTGCGTATACGTGCGCAGTAACGCTACGCGTCTGACATCGAGTCGCAATTAGTTGGTAAACTGGTGAGGCTCGCGCGCGAAGAAGGTCGAGTGCGAGACGAATTTAACGATACCTAAAGTTAAGCTTGGCTAAAGTTAAGATTGCTACAGCGCTTGGAAGTTGATCTCGACAGTGACCGTGATACTACGTCAACAGTGACAACAATGTCCGTAATTATGGATTGTTTTCGTCAGTAGCGGACGCTACGTGTAAAGCTCTCTCGCTCCTTCCCTACGCGCGAAGCGACTTCTCCCGTTGAGAATTTACATCTCTCGGAGCACCCTCGTTCTGTCACGTAGCTCTGTGCGTGCGCGTTTCGTGCGATCTTCGCCAGAGAGACGATAAAGAACCGTAGAGAATCGGTGAAAGAAGCGAGTGCCTTTGTCTCTCAGTGGGTTGTCTCGCGTCGTTTATTCCCTCCTCCGTTCGCTCTCACTCGCTCTCGTTCAGTCTTTGTATATCTGTCTCTCTCTCTCTCTCTCTTTCTCTATCACGTAACGCGCAGTGTACAAAACAAGGACTCGCTTGCGATTCCTTTGCAAGTCCTTCTCGCGCGTTTGCAGAGTCCGTTCTAGAACTCTATCACCTTTTCCCAAATCCTTGATTAGCTATCTGTAATGTGCAAGTACAGTAAACAAGCCGGGAAGATCACTACGTCGACGATTAATCTCGTACACTCGAAAAGGAAAGGAATCTTCATATACATAAAAGAGATGCCCAAAGACTTGATAAGTCTTCGAAGTCGAAGAAGCTTCTTGACATTTCGCTTATACTGAACAGCTTTGCCATAAGAAAATCTGAAAAAAAAAAAAAAAAAACTGCTCAAGATTCGCTTGGACAGCGAGCAACAACAGGACTCTTCAGATCACGGAATGTCAACATTGTAAGGCAGGTGGTCTGATCAAGGGAATTAAATACAATTTCCAGCTTGGAGTTCAGTTGTTTACATAATCGGAGTAATCACGATTATTATCATCATGAAGTTGCTGGAGAATACACGTTTCGAAGCTTTAAACAGTGCCTTGTCCATTGAGACTGGAGATAGCAAGATAATTGCAAGGTAAGCGATACAAGATAAAGATACAAGATTCTTATCTTGAGTCAGTTTTGAATGTCTATATGCAATTTTATCATTGCAGGATCGAAAGTTACTCTTGCAAAATGGCAGGCAATGATAAACAGATGTATAAACGATTCAACTCGGAAGAGGGAGTTACGCCGCACGATTTGCAAGCTTTATCACCGCCGCAAACATTTTTGGGAACCTCTCCAGCTCAAGGATACTTGAGGTATTTTCAAGATACTTGTGTTTGTCATAAATTTCCAATTATTAAAAATTCTGTTTAATCGATGCTAACAGTCTCATGATTACATTTGTCTTCCAATAAAATCACAAAGTGCATTCAGACACAGATTGATATATTAATATAATTTTTTTTTAAATAGTCGTAGCGTTTCCGGCGATGAAGAAGGAGCGATTGCACTATGCGATACTATCAATAGAAGGACATTGTTTTACTTGACCACTACATTAAATTCAACTTTTAATCAAGACTACGATTTCTCGGATGCCAAAAGCGAAGAGTTTAGCAAAGAACCGAATTTACAGTGTGTAAAAAATGCGGTACAAAGCAATCTCAGCGCCACCGCGAATGAGCATTATCGCGATTTACATGATGCTCTTTGGGCGGCCATCGATGAAGAAATATCGTTGAAGGAATGTGATATCTACAGGTAAACATTCGACGATTGCTTCGTAGAATAAACAAAACGAAATACACACTGCAGTTATTATATAAAATTATAATCTGTAATATAAAATTACATTAGAATACATAAGATTAATTATGTAAAACATAAATATAAATTAAAGAAATTATAAGAAATTATATATAATAATAAAGAAATATATTTACAGTTATAATCCAGATTTTGCATCAGATCCATTTGGGGAAGATGGATGTCTATGGTCCTTTAATTACTTGTTCCATAATAAAAAATTAAAACGTATCGTAGTTTTCACCTGCAGAGCAATAAAGTAAGTATACAAAAGAGATTCTCTCTCTCTCTTTTTTAACTTTGTGCACTTAATACATCTTATTTATTGCTTCACAGCCCTCTTTACATACCAGACTCCGGAGTTGGCAGTGACTTTGCTATGGATGAAGATGACGAGGATTGTTATTATTAAATCAAACATATATATAAGTGCATATATGGTTGCAATCCCTACAAGTTCATGATTTTCTTTAGACATATAATAGTAAGAGTATCTGTTTATTTCCAACTCTAATGTAATTTTGAATTTTAGTACTATTGTATAATTTTAGTACTATTATAATTTTCATAACAAGTTGGTTAGAACGCTTTTTATTTTTAAATACTGCAGGAATTTAGGATTTCTATCTGCATATTACTAATAAGTCATTTTATTGTAAAAGTTTTAGGAGATAAACATCTTACTTTCATAGTTTATTAAATACGATATGACGATTGACTTGTAATATCTTTTAACGAAATCTCTCATGAGAAAGAATAATTTTTTTTTATATGAGAAGTAGATGCGCACATATATCCTACATATATATCCTTATATAATCTCTGTGTGAAAATTTTATGAATTTATTAGAGTAACCTATAAAGATTTTTCTGTCTTTTTATAGTGTAATTACGTTATCACTCTACAATTGTATATTGTAAACATATATTTTGAGAGCAAACTGTGTGTGCATAATAAAACCTACTGTTATATATATAAAATTGTAGTAATTTTTTAATTATAAAAAAATCATGAGTCACTCTACCTACAACTTTTTATATTATTTAAACATAAAGTTATTGAATTTCTTACAAAAATTGATACGTTTTTTTTTTCTTTTTGATTTATTTATTCAATTTTTCGTTGTTAGTAAAATAAAATAATAAAAGCAACATTAATATAAATTTTAAAAATATTGAAGATTTCTAAAAAATTAGAATATAGAAAAAAATTAATTAGAAAATTTTTAAAACAAATTTAAATTGCACGTGACTCTTCTGGTTATAATCCAGTAATATTAATCCAAAAGAAAACTAGATCTGGTTACAATCTTCTCTCTGTAGAGACTGCATACAATCTTCTTGTCACGAAATAACCAACAAATTCTAACTAGCTACTAAATTTATATTTCGTTATCTTATCACAGTTGCGTATGTTTCATGTTCTATTTGAGCGTATGTATTTCAGAATGTACTTTTATCTGAATGTCAGTGGCATAGCAGAGACTTTCTAGAGAGATTCTTAGGTTAAACTTGTTTTGAAAATTCAATATGCTCCGATTTCTGGTAGGTAAATACATACATATACATGATTTTTCAATTTGCAATTTATAAAATGTATAATAATGACTTGCAGATTAGTCTGAGTATTGGAGTGTACGCCGGTATATATATAGCACAAAATTATGAGGTATGTACATACATTTAATAAGATAAAAAGCTGCTTTTATAATTGACTAATTATTTTCCATACAATGAAATTACAAATCACTATGTCAGTACTTTCTTTTTCATGTGTGCAATATAAAATTCTTGATACGACAAGTACTTTGCTATTTCTTGAAGCTAATTTATTTTCATTTTATAGATTCCACGTGTGGACGAACCAGCAAAAATATATCAACGAGTACTTCAGTTTCTAGAAGAAAATAAGAAGAAGCCATAGCATAATTGTACATTACTCCTAAGCATAACCACTTCCAATACTAGAAGAAAAAATGAATAATGCCATTACTGATATGATCTAAATGTAACATTTAGCTATATTTTCCAAGAAATATTTCTACTTGTATATATATTCATATGTACAAAGAGACAGCCACTTATTTTTCCATACTTTTATTTTCTTTAATAAACAATATTTAAATGCGACACGCGCACAGTATAACTTAACTATTTTCACGATCGCATTTGTCGGACGCGTATATCGAGTACTTACAATATTAACTGATTGTATTTGCATCAAACATATATGAAACCTCCACCAGAGTATTCCACCCTTGTTTGCGGCTCCACAAACGCTAGCCAGTCGGACGCGTGCGTCGGCAATAAACCCATCGATTGACATTTGTACAAAGCTAACGCGATATTTACTAACTGTCCTAAGAAGTACACGAACTTTTGCCCAAACGCGTGTGTTCCTTCGATCACTTTGAATGCTGAACGGAGGAAACGACAAGTTATATTACAAGTAATGTTTTACCTTTATCGACTTCAAATACTTACTTTGTTGCAATGTGAATAACGCCTTGACTGGCCTGATAATGAGCATGCCGACCATCATGATGGGAAAAATTGAAATTGAACTGCCAGCCATGTACATGATGAATAGGTTCATGGGCACTTGCTTAAGAGGTCCCAACGCCAAGTCCCAGGACTTCTTTATTATGAGATGATTGGAATCCGATTCTCTCATGTACTCCACATTGTGAAAGAGGGAACCAGTAGGTGTGTATCCTGGTGGAGATGGTATTTCCACGCTTTTGTCTTGTTTCGTTCTGTAAAAAGCGAAGAAAGTTTCAGCAACAGAATTTTTGTCTAAAATAAAATTGTATAAATTAAATACTAAAAGAAACTTTTTAAAAACTTTTATATTTCTTTAGGTGCACTTTTGTTTGAGATAAAATAATGATCAAGAGTTTGATAAAAGAAACAGAAAAATCACAGAAAGTGCATCTAAAAAAGAAACAGATGTTAGAGGTGAGAATTATAGATATTTAATATGAATATGTGAATTTGATTGAGCGAAATACATTCTTTTGACACGTGTACTTTGCGTCCTAATCTAGGTTACATACTTGTGGGCAAAATCTAAGGCCCATTTTGATCGCTTGGAACTCTGTTTGGAATTCGCCGTCATCGTCATCCGTATAATTTGCGTTCTTATAAATTCACGTATCGTTTATAGTCTCGAAGAAATTATGGAGGACGATGCGATGATACGAATGATCGGCGATATTCGAACAAAAACAGAAATAACTGTAGTAGCGACTGTCGCGACAACTAACGATAATTTAGTGAATTCCAGCGAGATCAGATAAACAATGTCGATAATGTAGAATTCTCATTAATGGCGATGTATCAAAAAGCGAAATGACAAGATATCTTGATAAACTGAAAAAGGGTTTCGCGTAAAATATGTAGACATTTGTGGTTGTTTCGTTGATGTTTTATCCTGCTCTCTCTTCTTGATACACACAATAATATATAAAAATTATAATTTGTATAAACAGAGAGAAATATATTAGAAATATAATATTAAATATAAGAGCTTTAATATAAATATATATAGAAGTACCCTCTCTCTCTCTTTCTTTCTCTCCCTACTTCTTATTAGTTTTCTACTAAAAAATCAAAAATTGGTAGAAAATAATACAGAAGAAGGGACACCTGTTGCAGACATAAAATATAAATTAACAATTATTTCGATCATAATAAATAATTCTGAATAGACAAAGCACATAAAAAGTAGAAGGAAACGTTGAAATATATATACATTTATAAGAATATATCTCTGATTTTTCCGGCAGTGTGTGTAATAATTTATTTTTATACATCATTATTATTTTAATACAAAATATGTACACACAGTAGTGATCGAAAGTTCAAAAACTACGAATCAAGGCTGATGGCAGTGTTTGTACCTGATACTTTTAACGATCTATCGGAACTCTTTGACAAGCGTATCCGTTCTTCTGGCTTCAGGATCTCGGCTATGATCTTCTCATCGCTACGCCGTTCCTGCATCGACCGAGCAATCTCCTGAGGTTTTTTCTTACATAAAAGTGCAATGCTGCATGATTCACTGCTGACAGAGGAACCTTCCTCGGCGACCGAGGCCAGTTGTGCCGTTTGTATCTCAGTCAAAGTAAGTCTTCCGTTAATCTTGCCCTCCACAGGACTGGTAGATTGCTGCCGAGGACTAGCCTCGGAGCTAGGAACAGATTGCAGAGGATTTTCCTCTGTACCAATTGGTATCTTCAGAATGTTGATTGGTTCAACGTAAAGCTGCAAAATAGTAAAATTGCAAATTGTTTTAAATAACATTACAATCCAAGCTATATGTATATTCTTATATTTAGTTAAGTACACAATTTTAATTATAAGTTAATCGTGTGATAAAAAAACAAACATATAATAGATAATATAACTTTAATATATATATATATATATAAAGCTTTGATGTACTTATTTATTTTTAAATATAGCACAGAATCTTATTGCATTAAATTTAAAGATGAATTTTCTTTGCGATGACTGTATTTCATTGTGTTTTTATTTTCAGAAACCTCGTGGATTACGACTATATATTACCAACTATAAAATAACGCTGACATAGATGCTGACGTCATAAGAATCATGCGATCACGAGAATTGATAACAAAAGTACGTGTTGTGGAACTTACTGCATCAAATGGAGAATCTAAAAACAGTTCTTGCAGAAATCGCCGCGCCGGCATTCTGTACGTACCGCTACTTAGGCGAGCGGCTACATCCGAAAACAAACAGGTATCCTGAAGAAGAAAAAAGAAAAATAAAAAGCAAAACAAAATGTGGAAATTATTCCTGCATATCGAAATGTTGTAAAGAAAAAAACATACCTGAAACTTTTCCGGAAATCGCTGCCTCAGTCTAAGTAACGATTGACGACTAAGACGATACCATACGGGATTTGCAAGTCGTTGAGTATGCCTAAGTATTTCTCTATAACATAACAAAATTATATACATAATAATTTTTGAATAGAAAGAGAGATATTTTATTAATTCAAATAAATTGAGAACGCGCTTACTTCTTAAATTTCTAATTAAATAAATAATTAATTAAATAGTAAATTAATATGTTAATTGGCAGTGTATATGTGTTCACTATTTGTATTGTATTTCACAATTATAAAACTATATTTCCTAGCTTTAATGTACAAGTAATTTCGATTCGAAAAATCGTATTTCTTACTTTCGCAATTTCATGTCCTGTTCCGTGCCGGCATCCTTGCTACTCTTGCCGTGATAACAAATGAGACATGTGCGGCAATGTTCGCTATCGATATCGTACTCCGAGTTGGATTCCTCGTCGATTTCCGTTGTCTCTGATTCGAATCTAATGATATCCTCATAGATAGTCGGCTGCGATGGTTGAGGAGGTTCGGGAAAGATCGCGAGCAACCTCCTCGGTAAGCAGATACCCATATAGAACAAATTCTCGTTGTCGTCCTCTGGAGGAGGTGGCGTCGGAGTAAGAACCGCATTCTCCGCAATCCAGCTGCGGGACGAATCGTACTCCGATAGGCTTTGCAACGACAGACGGCCATCTAAACTATACATCTGTAAAGATAAATACTCAATATTGCCGTTATATAAGATGCCCTCAAGACAGATTTTGAAAAATATTTACATACTTCTAAACTACTTTGAGAATAACTCGGTCTGCGATGACGTTGTAAACTACGTAGTCGCGCGTACCCTTCAGCATCTTGTTGGCTAAGTCTTTGTATACTCGAAACGGGACTTGGCGTTTCGCCTCTCTCTCTAAAAAATAAATTAATATTAAAACATCTTGAAAAATACATAAAAAAATTATTTTACAAATTAATGTAATAGTAATAGGAAAAGCTTTCCTGATAAGCATCGTTCTACTCACGGAAGAATGTATCGCCGTGCCTCGAGATCCGTGGCCGCGCTCTCGGATCGATTCCTCGTTCGGCGCACGAGTGGCTCGGGTAGTTCGGGTTTACCGTCGCTAAGGCTGCGATGATGCCGTTGCACAGGGATCGGGCTTGGTACCGGATACCTGGTCGAGGGTGGCACCACAGGCCAATTGTCGCCGCGTTGATGCCTGACGCACGGCCAGTTGAAATTTATCAGTGCGTCGGCGCCGGCGCGAGTGGTACCGATTAGACTGAGAGCGTACATCGCGGTGGCGCGTACAGAGTAATACGGACACGTCTCCGCCATGGACGCGATCATCTCGATGATACCCAGGTGATTGAGGTGTTCGACACCAGCGACGGATGTGCCCGCGTGGCCGAGAGCCCATAGAGCCGATTTGACTTTGAGTATTCCGCCGTTTGGACCGGTTACAGAGTGATCGTCGCGCGATAACTCGACAGTCTCCATCCTCCAGCTTCGCTCCGGAGTGGTGTGCCTGGAATCGTCCACGCTGGTCTTACGACGAATCTCCATTAGTGACTCGGTCCGCGGTTGGCTCGTCGTATCGCGAGTTAACTCACTCTCCAACGCCTCGGAATCGAGGATCGTCTCGAGGCGACCGCACTGCTCCGCAGCTTCGTCCGTCCCGGACTCCTCCGACACGATACCGACGTCGTCAGCGATGCCTGCAACGGCCGTAGCGGTGACGCCAATAGGTAGACGACTCGTTCTGGTGCATCGCGAGTTAGATTCTGAATCACGGCCGCCAAACTCCAGCTTGAATCGCTGTAATAATCGGGCGAAACGCTGTATCACGTTGCGACGTAACAATAATTGCATCCCGAGTTCGTGCTGCGCCAACTGGCCGATCAGATGCGGCAGCACGAAAATGTCGTGCGGTACCATCGCCACGTTGGTGGTCCTCCTTTGATAGCTCCCGGTCTCGTCTCGTTGACGACGCGTCAACGCGTCGTGTATCTCGCCTTCCACGAGTCCCACATATCGCTCAGCGAAACCGCCGGGTCCGATCCACTTCTCCAGCTCCTCCGATGGCGCGGCGAGACTCGCGAAACCCTGTTGAAGAGAGTAAAGCCGAATCTTCAATAAGTAACCCTTGTCACCTAGATGTTGCAGCCATTTGTCCCAGTCGCGCGATTGTCCACCTTGTTGCAGTAACACTTCCAAGTACTCAGTCTCGTTACACGCCTCATGTAACGTTTCCAACGCAGCTAACGCCACAGCGATAGTGCTATCCGACAGCCGATCCGCCAACAGCGACATTGCCCAACGCACAGCGTCCGTCATTCTTGCGCGGAGTATCAACCGTAAAAACTGCGTAGCGTATAAACGTGTACTCCATAAGGTCGCCTCGGAGATAATCTTGCTTAATAGCTTCCTATTGGGACCGTCTCGAGAGTAATCCAGACTGGAAACGATCAGCTTGACATAACAGTCGTGATTAGTGGCTAGCGCGAGATCCTGCAGTTTCTCCAACAGGTTAAAACTCTTGAGGACCACTGTTCCCTTGGCCGAGTAGCTTAATTGACCCAGGAAAAGGAAATATTTCTGACAACACGTGGTAGACATGTGACGTGGCGAGAACAGGCAGTCATGCGCAGACTCGGCGGTGCGAATGTTGCTGATCTGTTCGGCGACGTCGCCGATCAGTTCGTTGAGCAGTCGCGCGCCCTCCGGTTCGTGTAGTTCCAACAAGCAATTCAACAAATCGCAGCCGGCGAGAGTTGCTTCGCGTGCTAATGTTGCATTCGTGCCCAGCTCGACTCTGCTATAACCGTTCCAGGACGGTCTGAAATAACGTACGAGCCGCTTCATAAACAATCGATGATCGGAATCGTGCAGAATTCTCGTCGCATCCTCGCGCGATCGCAAAATCGCCCGCACTATCGGCCAATTCCAGGCGAGAGCGTCCTTCGAACTAAGCACCTGCGCGTCCTTCAGCAACGGCGTAATCGGTGATTCACGGCCGATTCGCAACCAGTGCCTGCCGGATGGTCGTTGACGTCGTGGCAGGGTTGGACGTAACCATGTGCCAGCCTGAAGAATCCGATCAAGGAAGAGACTCGCCGGAGTAGGTCTGCGTCGCATCATGGTGTGCATTCGCTCGAGAATTGTGACCGCCGCTAACGCCTGATGCTTACCGGCGCTAGCATGCTCTAGTAGATTCGGCAGCGGCGGCGTAAGATCGCAAAGCTCGGACGGTAGAAGCGAATGTGCGAGATGTAACAACGCTCCTAGAAGAACCGCCGCGCGCACCGAGATAAACGTATCACTGGAGACGATGGTTTCCGCGAGGGCTCGATGGAGACCGCATTCGAGAAGAACGTACACCAACAACGCTGAGTGTATCTCTGTGATATTGGGACAGTGCGACGACAGGGATGGCAGTATAAACTTTCCCTCGGCAGCGACGAAGCCTTCGGACAGTTTCCACGAATCTCGTGATCTGCTGGGATCCACCGCGGCCAACGCGACATCCGGCTCGTCGGTCCACGTGGGCAACGGCAGATCTAATAGCTCGTAGAGTAACTCCAGCACGGCGCCACGCACTTCCAATTGTTCCACATACAGGATATCCGCGATGGCCTTGAGGCCCGAATTATTGTCCGACCGACAGAAATGAAGGACGCCCGAGTACGAGCGAAGGATGCTTAGCAGAGCAAGTTTGCTTGCGGCAAATCTTTGTTCGCGCTCCTCCTTGGTTCTCTCCATGCTCGAGGAGTGAAGCTCGCAGTACGGTGCGGCGAAGCATAGAAGAGAAACGCTGCTGCGTGTATCAGGGTTGTTCAACAGACGCAGCAGCACTCCAACGATGGATTCGACCGCGGCGGCGCTTTGGCCGGTCATCGCGGCTCTTGCCAGTGCGCCGACACCGCCGCAGCTTATTAGTAGGTTCGAGTTCAAAACACCTAGCTCGCATAGAGTTGCTAGAAACGCTCTAAATGCACGGTCTCTTTCCTCTATACCACCGTTGGTTAAACTAATTAGAGATCTCGCTAAAGCGGGACTGAAATGCTTGGGAGCTAATACCAGGATTCTCCTGACGAGTCGAAGGGCCTGTATCCTCTCCATTTCGTTACGCAGATTAACGTCCATGCTACGCGCCACGAAGTATGGATACTGCAGCCTATTGATCGCGATGACATCCTGTTCCTTCTTGAGCATGTAACGCACCGCTCGCAGCGCGGCGGCGCGCACTTGTGTCGCTTCATGGACCAGAGCCACACGCAAACTAAAAAATAAATGCAATTTTGTAATTAAATTAATGTTAATAATCTTAACTAGTCTCTCTTTTTTCATCGATATTCAAGGTATAATATTTGATTGTTAACAAATCTTACCAACAGAACAAATCTTCTGCAGTGTATCCATAATCCTGGGACTCGGATTCGCTAATCAACTTAACAATAGCATTAAGATACGCTAGCTTCTTTACGCTTGGAACATTGTGACGCTGGCAAAGATTAGTTAAGACCTCCTTGACATTCTCCTTCAATCCTGTACAAGATATATTAATTACTTCTTTGATACATTTATCAATATTTTATAATAAAGGATAATCAAAGTATCTCATAGGCAAGGAAGATATAATTAAAATAATAGCATTGAGGGATATTCTTTCTTTCTTTACAGACTGATCCTTAGATTAATCACTTTCCTTAGAAAGTCTGCGATAGAGAATTTACTATATACATATTTCTGCTTTGATTATTTCATTTTAGATCAAGCTGTATAAGGATACCTTTCAAACTCTAGAATGGCAACAAATCAGTATCATCATTCGATATCGTTGAAAAGTATCTACCTATTTTTCGCTAAAAAATATCCGGCAAATCGATCATTGACGGGACGAGAAGCAAGGATTGCGCAATATTGCGCTTGCCAGGCGGAAGGTAAACAAATACACAAAGTGCGAGGCAGACTAACGTCATTGATAGCATCGAGGTGGACGAACGGGAGGAAGGGAAGAGAAGGAGGGAGGATAGGAGGCACGATCCTGTAGCAGGTTAGGTTACTAACCTCTTGACAGATCGAGCTGGATGCAATTGTCCTCGGTGTCTTGCCCTGCAACGAAAAAGACACGTCAAGAGCGATTCGCCTCAATCAATTTTCGCGCAACATTTCATCTCAAATTACAACGACGTAAATTACAACAATGCACGCACTTCGATGAGATCGGCCGGTGCGTAGGCTCCTACCCCACATCATCCAGCTCGAGATCGCCATCGTCGACGATCGGCAGATCCTCCGACGATCCTCCAAGTCCTCTCGCTTTCAACCGTCGTAGACGCGCTGCCCCGGCTCGATGACGCTCCCGCCGCGTGCGTGATCGTCGCGCGTCATCCGCGCGTCGCGATATGTCATTCTCCGCCGCGAGCGGGAGCACCGAGCGAGCGGACGAGCACGAAGCCCTGCGGTGACAAGTGCGTGCAAGTGCGTGCGTGCGCGCGTGAATTCGGGCGCCCGCGAGCGCGAACGAGAGTGCCCGTCGACGAACGTGCGCACGTCGTGGGTGTCGCGCACCGGATTTCGGAGCAGAAGCGTCACGCGAGAAATCAACGGTGGGGAGACGAACCGCTAAGACGGGTACCGCTCGGGGAAGGCCGCCCGGTTCGCCGGCCTCTCCGCGACAGCTGGTGATCGCAACTCGCCGGTGAAGATCACGGCGGCGGCGAGAAACGAAGACGACGTCTCGCGACCGCGAACTTTCGCCACTTCGATCTCGCGCTTCGCATGCCCGGCTGTGGCAAGTGGCAAACGCGAGCGAGGCGAACGCGCGGCGCGCTGCGCCCGTAAACATGCGAGGGAGTAGACGGGCGTGCCGCTGGTATTGACAGAAGGGTGCTCCTTTGTGCGCACGCGCGTCCAGTGTGTTGGAAGATTTAAATGAAATATTGACCAATCAGAAGAAAGAGATTTTAGTTCTCTTTGTTCCGATTGGTTAAGTCCCAATTTTTAATTACGTGGAATTTAGAGTGGATTATCTATATATTTTATGCTTATGGGCTGGGATATGGCACGAAAATTTGATAGAGAATAAAAGAAGCGCGAGTAACGTTGTTGCAATTGTTACAATAGTAGAAAGGTTTGCAATTGAGAATTGCGTGTTAAACTTCCTACAATATTATTATACGATAAACACATTTCTCTATTCAATTATATTATTAAACTGGAAAGAATTGTTATCAGAAAGGAAAATAGCAAAGTAAGTACTGAAATTTAAGCTCGTTGAATTGAATCACTCTTTTCGAAAATGTTCTTTTTTAAACGGTTATCATCTTTCATCATCTAATATTCTACTTAATGTATATCTGTGAGTGATAAGATTAAATTATATAGTTTTTTATATTATACCTAACAATACATAACTATTCTATCATACTACAATGTATATATTCAATAACAATATATATATTCTATCATACTACTAGAATCAAATTTTCAAGAGTGTAATTAATTTTAGTTATCAAGAATTTATTAAAGTAATTCTTATGATGTAGATAATACATAATATAGGACGTTTTTCAGCAAGTGACACAGAGGACACAGTGTATCACTTCGTCCTTGTTGGTTACCGAATGTAAATAAGGATGAAGTAATTAACTGTGTTACACTGTGTTTTTTGTGTCGCTTGCTGAAAAATGTCCATGATATTTTTCAGTATAAATTTCAAATATATATAAATACTAATAAATCAATCATCATTTCATACTTTATCATATTACTTATGCATTGAAATCTTTATTAATTTTAAAATATATATATATTGTAATATACTATTTTTCTAAATTAGCACAAAGAAATAAATTTAATTATTTAGTTACTAATATTAATTATTAGTTATATATCAATTGTTTATCATTTACTAAAATACTACCTTGTAATCCATAAAAAAATATGAGAAATAATGATTGATAGTAATATTATTAGTATATATAGTAATTAGTATTAGTATTAGTTTTGAATAATTAACAGATTGTAGAACAATTATAAAAGTTCATGTATAAACTTTAATAAGCTATTTAATATATTTGCATGTTATTCAATATATTTTTATAAGTTTTTATGATACATTTAATACTTATAAAAATAAATTACTGAATGTTAGTTGTAGAAGGATAAAAAGGAACTGCAAGATGATTATAACTGAAGATGCCACTTATCATTGTCGAACAGAATTACAGCTACACAGACTTACTTATACATGGAGTATTAATAATTTTTGGAGAACTTCCAAATTTGCTAGGAGATTATACTTTAATAACAACAACAAATATTTTACATTATATGTGTCTTTCGAAGAAGAATGTGTGATTTTTGTTGCTTTGCAGAATAAGCATATACAAGATAATATAAAATCGATTACAGTTTCTTATTCTGTATCTCTTAACAGTACTGAAGGAAAAATTATTAATACATCAAAAGATATGATTGAGTTGTTTGTTAATAACGATGAAGAAACCATATCTGAATTGTCTATTATGTATCTTAAGAATAATGAAGAAAAGTATTTACTTAATGAGACACTTACAATATACTTTAAATTCCTTATATGTGATGACATAATTAATGATAATATATGTTACACATATAATCCAGAAATACATATGCGAGATAGATCCTTTGTTCATAATAAATCTGATTCGCTTATTACATTTGTAATAGATGGAAAACGTCTTCAAGCAAGTAAGGCTTTATTATGTTTAAAAAGTGAAGTTTTTGAAGCTATGTTTAATTGTGGTTTAAAAGAAAGTGTAAATAATGAAGTAGAAATAACTGATATAAAGTATAATATTCTACAGCAATTGTTATTTTTTCTACAAACTGGTTATTTATCTGAAAATGTACAGACAGATATAAAAGTAGCCTGTGAACTTATTATAGCAGCTGAAAAATATGATTTAAAAGATCTCAAATTAATATGTGAAGGACATGTAATCAAAAATACAACAAAAGACAACGTTGCAGAACATTTAAAGTTCGCACGTTTAAATAATGCAACAGTATTATTAAAATATGCCTTAGATTTCATAAAATTATATTTCAGAGATATTATGGATACTCCAAATTTTATAACTCTAATGCAAGAATATCACGAATTATTACTCCACATTAAAATGATTAAAGTCTCTGGAAGTATCGGCATGTTTTGTTGAAAAATAATATAAAAATATCATCTAAGATACATGCAAACCAAAATTTTTTTATTTATATGATAATGCATATTTCTAGTATTAAGGTATAACTATTTTATTGTAAAAGTTATCTCTTTTTATTGTAAAAGCTATCTCTTTTTATTGTAAAAGCTACCTCTTTTATTTTGGAAAATATTTTGCAAAGATGAAAAAAATATTGATTTTATATTACTTTATATTATTATATCCACCTACATAGCAACCTTTTTGTTTCCAATTTTCAATCTTAGTATCTCTTATAAGTGATCTCTAACTTTTTATTACAAGAAATATTAAGAAATATTAATATTTAATGTAATATGAAATATATTTTATTTGTTCAGTTCATTTAATGTATCTAAAATTTATGTATACAGTATTTTTTAGTTAATTGATTTTATTATTCTGCGTAAGCGATTGTCTGTTCTAACGAATTTCCCCTTAAGAAAAGAAAATATAAATGTATGTTAATATGTATGTTTATTAATTATATGTGTTATTACAATTAAATATTTATAATATTCTTTCCATAAGTAAAAATTATATTTCGCATGATATTGTCATAAAATAATAAATGTAAGATAAGGTTGCAAAAATTGACCTAATTATAGGAAGATTAATTTAAGATATTTTTTTTCTAATTTTCTTAAGAATGAAAAACCTACTAGATATATAAGATAATGTACAAACGAAAAAAAAAAAACAAAAATCAACAATTGTTAATTTTATTTTTCTTGAAATATAAACGTTCTTGTCTTTTCACACGTTTTTCCTTTTTATTTTCAAAGTCTCATTTTTCAAAGATAAAAAATTATCTTTCGACTGTTAGAAAGTATTTAAAAAAAATTTAGGTTTAAATATATAATAATATATACACAACAAGATGATTATATATTATTATGTACAAATATCTCTTATAAGGTGTAATTACGTATATGTATATATGTCATATGGATGCTTGTGTGTGTATTGTATAGATACACACATTGTGCTAAATATTTATATGTACGTACATAACGTCATAATTGTGTAGTCATTTTATTACGTCCATGTTGAATGCGTTCGAAAAATCTCTTCGTCGGAGCAGATTACTGTTTGATTGACCAATTAGTTTGAGAAGAGCACAGGTTTCTTTCTTTCAATTGGTCCATCAAATGCTACGCTGCTTCGTCGAATAAAATTTTCGAACACACCCCATACCCTGAGTTAAATGCTGATTTCGGTTATGTGCACTTGATTATTTTTTTGTTTATATTTATCGTGTAAAATTTGCATTTTTCGAGATGTATCTGGTTGGATTGACAGGCGGCATTGCTACAGGAAAAAGCTCAGTCGCTGCTATCTTTCGGGAGCATGGAATTCCTGTTATAGATGCCGATTTAATTGCACGGAAAGGTTAGAATATGTATTGTACTTGATCCTACAATTATTATGAAAAAAATTATATATATAATAAAATAGTATATATATAATAAAATATACTATTTATATACTATTATATACTATATATACTATTTTATTATATATATAATAAAATAGTATATATATAATAAAATATAATAAAATAGTAAAATGAGTAAAATTGAGCAAAATAGTAAAATTATATATATATATATATATATATATATATATATATATATATAATTTTTAAGCTTCTCATTTTACTATTTTATTATATTTTTTATGTGAACATTTTCTTCAACAATATTATTAATAGTTATATTTCTTTTCTGATTTTTTGTATTCGATATCCATCTATTTAAGAATTTAGTATACATTATCAGTATAAATCATACATTTATGCATGATATAATAAGTTTTGAAAAAGCAAATTTAATAGAAAATAATATATCTATTTATATCTAATTACAGTTGTCGAACCAGGAAAGCCAGCATGGTATAAGATACAAAAGGAATTTGGACCAGATGTGTTTTTGGATACCAAATACTTGGACAGAACAAAACTCGGCGATTTAATATTTAACGATGTTGAAAAGAGAAAGAAACTTAATGCCATTACACATCCTGATATATATAAGGAAATATATTGGCAAACTATTAAATACTTGCTACAAGGCTATCCATTTATAGTTTTAGACCTACCATTGCTTTTTGAAACAGGACATATGTTAAATTACTTGCACAAAATTATAGTTGTAACATGGTATGCATATATATAATACTATCAATGTATGTAATAGAATAGCATATTAATATTTAAAATTGAGCAAAATAAGTCTTGATTCCTTGAAACTTAAACTATAAATTCATTTATCGCTTTCAGCGAAGAAGATCTTCAATTACAACGTTTAATGGAACGTAGCGGATTTACAGAAGCTAAGGCAAAAGTAAGAATAGCTGCACAAATGTCTTTAGAGAAGAAAGCAGAGATGGCAAATTTTGTAATTGAAAATTCGGGTAGCGAAAGCGACACTAGGGAACAAACTATAAAAGTGATTAATGTATTAAGATGTTCTAAGCATCATTGGAAATTGCGTTTTTTAGTCGGATTTTGTTGTACTATATTGGTAGCTGGCACGTACTGGTTAAGAAACAGAAGCTCCAGATCTTTATCTTCTACAGCATAAAGTTATTTACCATTACAATTAATCAGTAAATAAATTTCTTCTGTTGTAAATTTATTAGTTACATGATAAAAGCAAATATGTGTTTAGTTATATTATACAGCGACAGGTTCGCAAAACAAAATAAAATTTTTAGAATAGATAATAGTGGTTTACAAAATAGAATCACTTTTGCTAAAAAATTTAATAAATTATAAAAATAAAAACTATATTGTATAAAAAGATAAGTTCTTTTTGTATGAAAAAAAGTTTTCACGTGATGATAAATTATGCAATTAAATAATTTGATTTACAACAACCAGAACCATTTTTTTGGTTGTAATGCACTGTAGCTGATAGGGCAAAGGAATTTATAGAATTATGTATGCATGTTTGTATGTACATGAGTATGTCAGTGTCCAATGTATAAAAAAGTATTTTATCAATAAAAATGAACAAATCTCATATTTAGTACTTATGTCATACAATCAGATTAAATAAAAATGACCAAAAAAAAAAGAAAGTGAAGCGATATGTTTTACAAGTTAAATTAGACAATATAAGTGTTACAAACAATAACATAATATAAAGTATAATTTTTTTTCTATCATTTTTATTGTAAGTGTATGTATGGATTTATGCAAATGTCTTGTGTAATTGATGCATTTATTGAGTTGAATGTGAAACATTAATCAACGATAAATATGTAAAAAATAAAATGGCTTCTATTATAAAGATATATAATTGTATATATCAAAATATGTATCTTGTATAAGAATTTTTTATAAAAATTATATATTATAAAAAAAACATTCTTCACATATTTTTTTTTATTTGATAGAAACTGAAAAATTTTGAAGTGTAACTGGATTATTTGCATACAAGTATTGTGATTGCAACAGTACAAGAGTAAAAATCACATTCGTTTTTTTCTTCTTTTTTAATAAAGTGCTTTTTAACATAAATTCATACGTAAAAGATTATTCATACATATTTGTATGTATATATAAAATACACGAGTACACAGTGCTCAATTTCTTAAATGCTAATTATCGCAAAATATATACAAGTATATAGAGTCGTAATTAATAATGCGACTTGAAATCAGATGTATGTCCATTTGGTTTATCGCATGCATCTTTCATATATATGAAATAAGTGTGTTGTGTGTGTGTGTGTGTGTATATATGTATACACACTTATGTAAATGTATGTCATTTGTATATGTGGGCTATAAATATAATTTTTAATTGCTTTTACCCTAATATCCAAAAATGAAAAGCTGCTTATTTAAATTATAGATTGATAAAGGACTATGTGTAAGTACTTAATCTATTAAAGTATTATAAGAGTAATTGGTTTTTGCTTACATGTTTAAAAGTGGAAGTATAAAATACATTTTTTTTGAGATTAATCTAAAGAAAGAGCAACATAGAATATGTACAGCATTGTCTACATAATATTCATTATCAATTATTAATATGAATATACTATATGGAAAGATTATTTTATAAACAAGGAGAATACCTCACTCGCTTTTGAAACATATTGAATATTTCGCTAAACAAATCGGACAAGAGCTCCGAAATCAGTTCTCGTCCAATAGATAAACTTTATTGTACTTTTAATACCATAATATCATACTAAGATTCTGTGAAACCAGTTCAAATATCAGTACGAATCTTTTCGAAGATATATATATTTTTTTCAATATGCTCTACATTTATTCATTTTTGTACTTATGTTAACGTATTAATCTAAATGAGAGTCATTCTCCTTATTCATACCCGTTTATTTTACAATTTTCTCGACAATTCTCTAATCTATTCACTATCATCTATAAAATTTCATTAAGTTTTACACACAAATAGAGAAACGAGATTAATATGAGACTGTGTGTAATATAATGTATAGAGAAAAAGAAGATACAAAGGAATAAGTCATGATGTAACTGTCGTGATTGTAGATTGTCGTTCCTATTATTCTGCAACTATACACACTTTAGATATACATATTTGCTGACGATTATGCCATATAATTAATGTATATTTCTAATACTATTCACAAAGAAGATAAAGAATATTTTATAGTGTTTCACACGGATATAAGATATATATATATATATATATATAATTTAATATATATATATATATATATATATATTTGATTAAAAGTAGATATTTCTAGATTCTATTCCTTTACCTTTTAATAATTTTATATATATATATATATATATATATATATATATATATATAAAATTATTAAAAGGTAAAGGAGTAGAATCTAGAAATATCTACTTTTAATCAAATATAATTTAATTATTTATTTTTAACAAAATCATTTCCTTTAGACTCTATCTTTGCGTAAATAAGTAGAGCAATTAAGAAAATTAGAATGTGAAATCGCATGAACGTAAATATTTTTATTTCTTACTACAGATTTGCGATACATCTGTGTTATACACAGCCTGATCTTTCTGTATTCTGTTTCCTGTACTTTCGAAATATATCGGTTCCTTACCAAAGAAACATAATTTAGTCAGCAGATGAATGCATGTTAATTCTTAATAGCCAAGTAGGTAGGTCATATATATCATATCTTTGCCGATATCTTGCTGGAATACAAGTGTCCGCATTTATTGCAACGCGACTTACTGTAAGACAGGCCTAAGTTCTTGAGACATAATGGGATAAGAAACGAGGGGCGCGGTTGCGCCGGATATCGACAGAGGTAGGCTTGCGGGTTGTTGCGTGTTGGGTGGCTGCTGATTAGTAGCTTGAGGAGGTCCAGAGCCGCTCATCGAGATGGTCTGTTGCGCCATGGTGACGATCGGCGGTGGTATCGAGACCGGTGCCATCGAGACTGCCGCAATCGAGACGGGTGCCACGGTTGCGATACTCACAGGAACAGTGGCTACGCTGGCGGTGACTGTTCGCAGAGTGCCCGCGGCTACGGCCGCGTTGACCATCTGTTGAGGTGTCGGGGCTTGCGATGGCGGAACTGTGTTTGTAATCGTGACCGCCGGCACCGTTACGGCTGTTACATTCGCGGTCCGTTTGCCCGACATCCTCAGTTGAGCATTTTGATCCAACAGAAATTCATTCGTCGCTGTCAAGTCGCTAACCTAAGATGGAAAGTGAAAGAATAAAATAATAAATTTATACATTATAACGTATAACAAGTTAAATAATAGAAATGAAGTTAACACATAGTATCTATACTCAAATTTTGTAAAAAAAATTTCCCTTTTCTTGTAGGTATTTTTGTTTCAAATTCCAAGAACATATTTTAAAGATTTTTTTTGTGCAACTTTCTAAAAATAAATTGTTCTATTGCATGCATTTTTTAATGCTTTTCATTCTTTCAAAGAAAAAACAGAGCTCTTTCTATTTAAGTTTCAAATGCTAAATTTGCAAATTTGGTAGAAACTTAAACTGAATAGCTTTCATAAGATATATGAATATTTTTCACTTGCATAACATTTTCATTTTTTATCATTAAAAAAATTACAATTAAAATAATATACTGCATGTTTGATAGCTTTGTTAAGACATTGAATAAACTAAGATAGATATATTAAATACATATAGATAGATATAGATAGATATACATAGATATTTATATTTTAAACACATGATTCATAACTCGATTTATTAGTGTATTATTGATTGCTTCTAATATCTTCTATAAATTGTAAGCAATCTATAATTACTTCTATATATATATATATATATATATATATATATATATATATATATATAAAATCATTATCAAAGAGAATTTTTTTTAATTCCACGATAATTTCCTGATTTCTCCAAATATAAAAGAAATTCTTGAAAATTCCAAATTTTCTAGGGAGCAGGCGATATTTTTATCGATATTTTATAATAAACGTGAATATTTGAATCTTATATACCTGTTTCTTCAATTCTTCTATTTTTTTCCTCAATAATGCATTCTCATCCTCAAGTACGATAGCCCGTGCTTCATTACGTGGTATCACAGGATAATAATAACTCGGCGTTACCGCCGGTTGAGTGGCGTGTTGTTGGCCCACAATCGTAGAAGCATCAAAATGAACGACTGTCTCGCCCGAGACTATTCGTCTCTTTGGTTCCGGTGGTCCGATGTAATCGGTCGGATGTGACGTATTGTAACCACCGTTATTGGCGACCAAGTTGTTGTGTTGATCTTCCATTTGCCAGTGAAAACTGCACATTTATGAAAAAAGAAAAAAATGATTAAAAACAAAACGTAACATTGCAACTTATATATGTAAGTAAAGGAACTTATATATCCAAGAGATCGCTTACTTTCTGTCCTCCTCGTATCTGCGATTCTCGCCACCGGCACTACCGCCGTTGCTCGTGCCATTAAAATTGTGCTGCGGTCTGGACGCGTTGTGATGCGATGGCGACATGAGATTGTGTTGCGGCTCCTCCTTCTTCCAATGTCTAAACTTGCAGTTGGCTCTCTGGCAACTTCCCTTGAGAAAGTCCTTGCACAATGGGTAATCCGACTTGTCGTTATTACCGATCTTGGTTCTGTTGAGAACGTGGGACGGCAGCTCGCCGGTCGCCCGGAAACGCTTCTCCTCGCTTTCCGTGCAGTGGAGAAACTTACAGCCCGGCCAGTTGCACATGCCATTCTGGTAATCGTGGCAGAAGGTGTACTCCTCCACGGGATCGTCCTCGGAACGCTCATGCAGATACTTGCAACGCTTCCCGCGATGACACACGTTCCTCAGGAAATCCCTGCAGACGCGATTCGCGACGTCGGGGGCGTCTGTCGCGTTTACGTTCAATCCACCTGCCATCCCGGTCACCTGCTGCTGCTGCTGTTGCTGCCCCGCCGTCCCGTTGCTGTCCAACTTTTTCTTCAGCTTTTTCATCGATGAAGCATAGCGGTTGTCGTCGTACCTTCGATCAATCAACGGAACCGGCTAAGCACGGCTAATACGTTGTGTGACCCCTAAGTAAAGGAAAAAAAAAGAGATATATAGTGCGACAAAGATTTAAAAATATATAGAATAATTATTGCAGGCGTTAGACACTGAGAAAAAAAGACTTTTAATTCTCGCTCGTGGCAAGCAGTACTTACAAAACCACGAGATAAGCTGTGTTAATCGCTCGTTTTAATTAACTTTCAACTCGCGTTATATACATCCTCCATAGAGCGGCGCGTTCTAAGCTGAAACGTCAATTAAACGGGGTATTGAAAGTAACAAGACGAGATTTGTCAATTTGCTTGAATTAAGTTAACTTTTGTCTTTATTTTCCCTTTTCGTATAATACGACTATTACATCGGTAGTAAGATTATATCAACATTACTATTTACAGCATTTTTATTTACCATATTTACTTTGATAAATCATACCGTGATAGGTACGTCTCAATCCGTCAAGAAAGTTAAGATCGAGCCGCGACTAACGATCGAAGCTCGCAACTTTCTTGGGAAATGTGTATCACGTGGATCCTTGTTCTTTCGCGACGCACTCACACGAATGATTTCCTTATTTAATGCGATTGAAGTAGACGCGCGCTGCGAGCAATGGCACACTCTCCAACTAAACTAACGAATTAAGAAAATACTGTCAATTTTTGCGTCACGCGTTTGTATCAAAAGAATGGATTAGAAAACTACGATTATCGCGGGATCTTCTCGATTTAAGACGTAGACGATGTATAAAGGCCATTCCTCAAGGTAAAGATCAACGGAAGGGTCTACCATAAATGCGGAGAAATTTTTCCTTTTTTTTCTTCCAGGGAATAAACGTTTTCGCTTATCGTTTATTAGGTCGCTCGAATAGATATGCTTTTGTATTGTCACGCTATTCATTTATAGAAAGGAGAGGGACAGAGAGAGGGGAGAGGGAGAGGGAGAGGGAGAGAGAGAGAGAGAGCGAGAGACGATAAAGGTATGATTGTGCAATAAAGTCGGAGGATCCGGGACTCATCTCGCATTGCGATGCGCTTCGCGGTTAATTTTCACTCGTGAATAATGGACCTACGATTACAGGAGAGAGAGAGGGAGGGAGGATAATGCTGTAACACATAATATATGCCTGTTGATACATGTGAACGCGACGATCGAGACTTCCCTTCTCACATTCCACCACAAAAAGGCGCACATTTCCTACTCGGTCTCTGATTCTCTTTAAATCCATCCCTCAATTATACAGAATTAGAAAGAAAAAGCGTGTTAGATATCCCGAACGATGAGTATATCGGCAGATTCGCTTTCTATAATTATTTGTATGTACAAATTATTTATAAAGTACTTCATGAACAATCGAAAAATGTGCGCACTCGAGACGCAGACGAGTATCCCTCGTGAGTTCGCGGTAAACGATATACAGGGTGTATCTTAAAAAGCTTCCACTAAGCAAATAGCGTTATTCTTGATTAAAAACAGAGTCCTGAAAAAGTCCTGAACCATTTTTTTCCCCATAATGCTTAATAAAGTAGTAATTAATGAGTAAAATCGCGCCAATAAAAAGACAAACTTCCTCGTTGTCAACATATGAAGATTTGGATAAGCAAAAAAATAAACTGTTTTGTGTTAATTTTTAAACAATTCATCTTTTCAGAAATTTTTTTAATACTTAAATCTGATTAATTATTTAATGAATCTTGGAAAAAAAATGGTTCAGGACTTTTCGACTCGGTTTTTAATCGGGAATAACGCTATTTGCTTAGTGGGAGCTTTTTAAGATACACTGTGTATATACATATATATACTTAAGATCTTTAATCTTTTAACACGCTGACGCGCGCATAGAGAGAGGGAGGGGGGGGGGAGAGAGAGAGAAAGAGAGAGAGAGAGAGAAACGTATCATTTTTAAACAAACAAATGTACAAACGAAAATACACGGTATCTATGAATCGGACTTGAGCCATTATTACTCAGCAGCAGCTTGGCAGCATGTTGAACTTTTATACGTGATATCATATCTACATTCCCCTCCCTCCCCTCCTCCCATCCTCCTAGCTACTTGTAATTTCCAGAGAGCGTGAGTGTTCGCGAGCTTCTGGCTTCGATATACATAATAATCCGATATAGTTAACGCACGATGTTTCTTTCCCTGATCTTTGATCTTGCTCCTCCTTTCTAAAGCGTGATAACGCCGATACAAGGCTCGCTTACGATAACAGTCGTTGCGAAAGAAAAGAATCTTCCTATCCTCCTATCTTCCTATCTTCCTATCCTTGTCTTCGAGTCGGACCGGGAAATTAAAGAGAAAGATATATGTATATATATATATATATATTATATGTATATATGTACAATTCTTAACGTTTGTTCGTATAAAAAACATTGAAATTGCATCGAGAATAAAATTTACGCATACTTATGCTGAGTCCGATCGCCCTCGGCGAAATTTTTTTCGAGTTTTGCATCCGATATTGCGAGAGGAGGAAAAAAAAAGAGAGAAAAAAATCCAGAAAGGAAAGAGGGGGAGACACAAGACGCTCGTATCGTATATGTACACGCAGTTGTGAGAAGAGAATATCGGACGCGCGCGGAGAGAGAGAGAAAGAGAGAGAGAGAGAGAGAGAGAGGGAGAAGAGAGACGCGAGATTAGAATATTTTCTCCAGCAGCATCCACACCAGCATGATCGCGATAGGCGCCACGTAATGTATCGGCACGGTGTAAGTCGCGCTCAGCAAATCGCCGCACTGCGCCTTCAGGGACATGTATTTTTTCGACAGCTCCGCTTTCTCCTCGACGAACGTGTTGTATTTTTCCTTCACTATAACCAGCTCCTCGGTGACCTCCTGCATGCGCTGGGCGTCGTTCTTGGCGCGATAATACAGCTCCTTCAATTTGTCGACGACGATCTCGCTCGGCTCGCGGATCAGCCAGTCCTTCAGCTCCTCCATCTCCCTCTTAACCGTCCGCTGAGCCTCGTAGCTGTCCTCGCTTCTTAACGAGTCTAAAGAGCCAATTAACATCTGCAGCACATAGTCCCTGCTGGAGTGGTAAGCCTGTTGCATCGCTGCGTCGTTCTTTACGACGGGTTTCAAGGTCTTGATGTAATCCCCTTCTACGCGTTCCTCGCACTCGATTGTCGGCGCGACGTGCTCGTTTCCCGTCTCGTCGCCTCTGTCGTCTATCGTGTCGTCGATGATGGAGTTGTCCGGTACGTCCTCTACCGTTTCTCCCATCTCCGCGATGCTGCAATCGTCTTTGGCAATTTGTTCCGTTGGCTCGTCGTGTACCTCCAATTGTTGACCGTTCTCGACGTTGGCGAATCGAACCTCCAGATTGCTCTTCAACTCGGCCATCGTGTCTAGCTCCTCCTTTTTATTCTCTATAACGGACTTCTCGCTCGTATCATCGTTCGTGATGCTACACGTGTCGTCGGTCGCTTCCGAGTTTGTATCCGAGTCGTCGTTGGTATCCAGATTGGCCAAGTTCCCGTTGACTAAGGTTCTCCTGGACATCGATTGTAATACTACGCGCGTCGTCGATGATGGCGGTGGCAAGATGTATTCCGTGAGACTGTCGTCGGTCGTTTGTAGATCGTCCAGCTGATCTTTGGTGAACGATAAATCGGAGTTGGCGGATTTCAATTGCTTCGTATCGGCGTCCGGCGAATTCATCTGATTATCCTGCTCGCTCTTGGAGAAGTAAAAATTAATATCGCTGTCTACGTCGACGTTGTCGACGTGAATGGAATTCAATTTATTGAGTATGGTATCTATAGCTTCTATGGGATTTTCGTTGGTCTTGGAATCGAAATTCTCGCCCACTTCCAGCTTTGAATTCATATCCTGCAGGGTCTGCGTATAATTTCTCAAGGCAGTAATCTGCTTGTAAATATTGACGGAATCCAATCGGGAGTCGCGCAATCTCGCCCGTAGGTTCTTTTCGATCCTCGATTGATCTTCGAGTCGTTTTGTGAGATCCCGTTTCTCTTGTTCCGCGCTGAGCAACATATCCTTCATCTTCTCCTCGCTTTCCAAGAGCTTGTTGGTGGTCTCTTGGAGTTTCTTCTGAGTTTCCGCGTATTTCGCGCTGAGCTCCTGGAGTTCCGTTTGAGTATACTTGGCTACATTGTGCAAACTTTGACACTCCTCCTCCGTTTCATTCAGACGTCCCTCTAATTGTACCAATCTCTGAGTGACCTCCAGTTTCTCCTGCAGTATCTTTTGTAACGCTTCCTTGGCAGCATTCTGATATTGCGCTTTCTCATCCTGAAGCTTCGCTAATTCGTTTCTAATCTTGTCCTCGGTATAGTTCTTAGAATAAACCGCCAACTGGCTCTCGACGGTCATTACCCACGACAACAGACGGTCTTCCGTAATCAGTGCTTTCCACGATTGATTGGCAGCTTTACGAGTATTTTCCACCAACTGTTGCAGATAGCCCAGTTTAGAATACAGGGCTTTCTCTCGTCTCGAAGCTTCTTGCATAACTTGATTAAGCTTATAAAGATCCTCGAGGGATACATTTCCAGCGGGTGAACTAACAGAAGTGCTGAGACTAGCCTTAGCCTCTTTTCCATCTGGCAGATACAATTTTAAGGTAGCGACTATACATCCATGGGTAACTTTCTTTGTACTTTCCACAACGTCCACTCCAAATTGCACTATATCCCCGGAACATACTTCCTTGGGCGTCGACTCCAACCCCGAGGCGCTGAGTCTCTGATTATTGACAAATGTACCGTTGCTGCTGCATGTGTCTTGTAGATAAAACTTACCGGAGGAATACCAAAGCAACGCGTGATTCCTGGACAGTACTTTGCAGTCGAAGATCGCATTATTTGGCGCGGCTCTTGCTCTGGCTACCGAGCGACCGATCTTGACAGGTTGCTCCAAGGTCAACGTACGCTCCTGGAACGGATGAGAATTGTCCCGACAGATCAGGACACCTTTGGCAGTCATTTTGTTGTTGTTTTGCGTATTATTTTGGTTCAGGTTGGAATTGTTCTGCCCAGCGGGCGAACTGGCATTTTGTACCCACCCACCGCTGCTGGCTACAACCATAGCCGCCGAGGTGAATAATATTCGAGCGAGTCCGAGGATAAGTCTTTTTTACAACGGATCGTCGTCCGGCAGCACGGCAGCAACAGCGACAAAACTGAAAATTATTCCAGAATATCGTAGCGACACTCCCACTGCGAAAGATAGATCTCTTTAATGCAAAAAAAAAATCTTCGCTTCACGTGTATCGAATACCTGAGCGCACTTGGTCCTCAAACTCGGTCACGAGGCGATCGCGACGCGATCCCTCGAGACTCGTCGCCGAAAGCGACGAGACACGACGACACCGTATTTGGCATGTTTTCCTCGATACAAAGATATCACCTTCAATAAAGATTCACTCCGAACCGCCCGTCACCTCCCCCGCGACACCTCCTCCTTTACTTCCTCGTGGGGAGATCCGTCCGTTCGAAGGTCTCGCCCCGAGTCCGTATGTTCCCGGCGCCGTGGCACGGCCTCCTCGGATGCGTCGATGCCGATTATCCCGACGATATCGAGCCGAGGCTCCCGCGAGACGCACTCGCCTCGCGGAGAGACGGAATACGTCGAACGTGGTTACGCTGTCGCGTAATCTCGCCCGTGGCGTTTCTTCATCCGCGCCAGCTGCTCGCTCGCGACGAGCCCGGTTCCGGGGCGCGACGGGGACGACACGCCGCGCGAGGAACGGCCGGGACGAATCGCGAGTTCGGCGACGGCCCTCCGGATCTCGGCGATCGGACGAAAAATATTGTGCACGGACGACGTATGGCCCCCGTGAAAATACAACGGTTCGCGTTCCTCTGCGACACTGGTGCCACAGTTCGGTTCCGCGTTCCGCTGTTTCCGGGAGGCGCCGCGGCCGTCGTCGGGCGCGGAGGGAGCGAGACGAGGGATGCCTACCTTACCTACTTCGAGTAGGTCGTATGTACAATCGCGGTCGCGAAACTTCGGCAAGAGACAAAGATGAGAAAATAAAGTAGCTTCTTACGTCAAATTAATAAAAATCTTTCCTCAGTCACGTGATAAGCTTATGTAAGTTATATTTATTTCTAGCACATATTTGTTATGTCCGTGAATGATAAAATATTGCAGTGAATTTAAATTACATATATAAATAGAAATATTAATAATGCATGACATTTTTTCAGTGATGTAATGATTTTCTAACAATTAAGGTATATGAATAAAAATCAATGATAGTTCGAGCTTGATTGAAAATTTAAAAAGAAAGAAAAAGTGGGAGATATTCTAAGGAGGAAATACTAAGAAGCTTTCAATTATAAAATTTATGAAAATATTTTAATTCATGAAGAATTAATCTCAAGTTTTTTGTATGTTAGAAGGTCTCGATTCAAAAAAAGATCAAAAAGTATTATAAGAATCAATGTTCTCGACAAGAATTATAATTTTTGTCAAGTTGAATATAACCTAACAAAAATCAAATTAATATTTTGCGACATCACATTGCAAAATAATTAATTTTTCTAATAAGAAAAGATTATTTCTCTAGAATTACAAAATATCATTGCAATTTATACTACCAATAATTAAGAAATTTTAAAATATTAACAACTAATATAATAGTTTATCATATCTACAAATTTTATAATTTTATTAAAAGCCTATTATTTTATTTTCAGTGTTTTACAAGTGTTACATTCTTCAATATTAAATATTAATCCCACTTGCAAAAATGTCAGATGAAGAGGACTATATGTCTGATAAATTTTTACAAGGCTCTGAAAAGCATATTCCATCGAGTCTCATATACAGACATTCTGATAGAAGAGAATTTGCACTAATGAAAAAGAAAACTGAAATTGAATCCAGACTGAAGGAGCAGAATAAATCGATACGAGTAGTGGAAGCAGAAAAAAGGGAGGAAGGCTTGTCGTCTGCTATTGCGAGTACAAATAAAGGTCTGTTACTTTACATAAGCATTCGATGAATATACATTTAACATCATTATACATATTACACATTGCTGCAAAAATGCACTTGACAATATAAGAATATTTTTAATATGTAATAAATAATTATTTTAATATGTAATAAATAATTATTTCTTGTCTTTAGGTTTTGGAATGCTTATGAAGATGGGATATAAGCCTGGTCAAGGCATAGGCAAGACTCAATCAGGAATAGTTGAACCAATTCCTGTAGAAGTCAAGACAGACAGACACGGTCTAGGCAAAACATTAAGAAAAACAGAATCCTACAACCCCAAGAGTATAAATGCAAAATTGGATAATATGGATACAAGTGATTTTCGTAGCAGAATAGCGCAAGGAAAAACTGAACAAGTACAAAAGTATGATTTATACAAAAGTCAAAACGTATGTCAAGATTTAGATACTAAGACAAATGTGATAAAACCTCAAGAAGTGTGGTTTTGGCCACAAGCGAGCAAAGAAGAAAAAGAAGATGACACAGACGACATTGAAGACGAAAGCGATAGCGACGAAGAATCACTCAGTAATTTAGAGAAACTTGATATTCTTACTAAGTATTTAAGAAAGACGTATTTTTACTGCATTTGGTGCGGAGTGAAGTTTAATGACGAAGATGATTTAAGAGACAGTTGTCCGGGAAGTACAAGAAACGATCATTGAATATATACAGAATATTTTCATCAATAAAACTATCTTTACAATGCGTATTAGAAAAAGTATAATAAAAACATTCCTTAAACTGATCAATCATGTGTTTTAGATAATATGATAATACACTTTAAGAAAGAATTTACTTTAGATAAATTACATAACAAACTTGGTCAATTTATCGTACATATACGAGACATAAAAAAGCTATTAACCGTACGATGCAAAATATTGAAAAAATAATGTTTCAAGCGAGAGAAAATCGAGTATTACCACCCCTAAGAGCAGAAAGAAGTCGTTACTCCCTTGAACCTCCCGGTTAAACTGTACTATTAAAACAGCGGGGGACCCGCCCGCAACCCCTGTCTCTTACATACAATAGGAAGTGGGAAATTACCTATAAAAGCATCTGTTTGATTTTATCCTTTCTCATTTCATCGTAGAAACCTTTGCGGCGAGCCGCTTTACTGGGTTTGCATTAATAAATATTATATAATGTTGGTAAGCCCAAAGTCGTTATTAATTCTCGTGATTTATGCTACGGTCAACGAGGCCGAAAAAACTGAAATGAAAATAGACGACGAGAGCTGCGAGACTCTGCAGTCAGAGGTGCGCATTACTAAAGACGAATACGATGAGATAGGACGTTTGAGAAGAACGTGTAGCGGTGATGTATCAGTTACCAAATGCGAAGGATTCTGTAACTCGCAGGTACAGCCAAGCGTTATCACCACTACGGGCTTTTCAAAAGTAAGTTGATGCAAAAAAGATGCATATATATATATATATATATATATATATATATATATATATATATCATCCTTAAATTATAATTATCTTTTTGTAAATGCAGGAATGCTACTGTTGCCGGGAGAGTTATTTAAAGGAAAGATTTGTCATCCTGAATCAATGTTATGACGCGGATGGGATCAAATTGATAGGCATAGACGCTGAGATTATGGAAATCAAGATACGAGAACCGGCCGAATGTAAATGCATCAAGTGCGGCGACCTCGCGAGATAAAAATCACGATTGAAAACTATACATTCTGTGAAGACTTAAATTATAATTTTATGTGGCGCAATTATATTGCTAGATAGAAAATACAAATAAAAATATTGTAATCAATAAAAAAATTAATTCTATAAACAAATAAAAAAAGAAATTTTTCTTAACACACTTGCAACGTGGATTTATTTATATATATGTAACTACTGTATATGCATTATCTATTTTTTTGACAATAAATATAAAATTTCAAAGATTAATTTTCTTTAAGTGTATTATGAATTTTGATATAATATCCATATAACACATATGTATGTATCCTATTTTTTTATGTAATTGATTCTTTGAGATAATATATTGATACTTTGATACTTTGAGATAAATATAATTCATTTAAATAAAAATTTGAAACTTGTTTCACATATATTTGGAAGTTCTTTATCTGCTCTTGATTATTTAACAAGATTAAATAACATTCAAAAACAGAAATAATTCCTCACATATTAACAAAAAAAAATACATAAAATAATACACAAAAAATCTATAAACTTTTAATGATTTCAAGTTTTAAGGCCCGATTACACTAATAAATCCAAAGTAATGTTGATTCAGCTTTGTGTTAAAGAATTAACACAAATAAATGTTGTTTGATTAATCTCAGATTAAATATACTTTTAAAATTTCAAGATTTGCTCCAATACATTTAATGTTAGATTTAAAAAATTATAGATAGGGATGAAGTTTAATTAAATTTTAATGTAGAGTAAATTATTTCAATCTTTTTCTCGTAAGAAATTTTTTTCATTTACAAATTTTTACATGCACAATGTGAGAAAAAAATTAGTTTTGTTAAATTATATATAATTATTATAATAAGATATTTCCGAATTTGATAGCAAACTTTCACTTTACAAAATTTTAAATATCAGAACTTACTTCTAAATTAAAATTTTGGGTAGTAAAATCCAATCAAACTACACAAAATGAAAAGATATGTTACTCTATTTTTTTTTAAATAAATATGCATAATTATGTTTAATAGCTTATAAATCCTAAGCAATTAAATATCTCATTATGAAAACTTAGTTTTTAAATTGTAAAAAATAAAATTATGCAAATATTTCATATCATCATAGATGAAAAAATAAATTTATTCTGATTGAATACTTGTTATATATTGTGTTATATATATTTGTTATACTCGTTATACTTGTATACTCTCTAAAAATAGAAACAATAAAGTCATATAAGTTAATAAAATTTGATTAAATTACTGTAATTTGTAAAAAATTAATTTTCTTGTATTGCAAAATAATAAATTATAATTAAAATACATATTGACACAATATATAGCATAGTTCATAGTTTTCATGTAAAATGTTAATGTTTTATAATATTTGTGTTTTACATATCAAACATTAACATTTCATAATATTTTTTGGAAAATTAGGAGACTATGTGAGTGCTTATTATATATATAAATCATATTGTAGAAAAATCTAAATTCATATTTGTGGCATAAAACAATGTGATTATGCTATATTCATTTATATATGCCTCGTAATTTTTAAATGAAAGAAAATTTTAGATTTAGTTATTAGCAAAAAAAGCTTGCTCAAATTAGAAAAATACATAAGAAAATATTTTCCATATATCTCTTTTTTGTTTATGTACTTTCTTGTACACAGATGACCTTCTGATTGCTAAAACATAACAGCCAAAGGAAGGGAGGAAACATGGCCACCTATGGTGTATAAAAGCTTACGACCTAAGACTTACAAGCACAGTAAAGTGCTAGGAAGAGAAGGCAATGTACCGCTGTAGGAGCAAACTCCTTCGTTATTTTGGTGAATAAGTTAGCATTTTGAGAATATACTCGCAAACTAATATTCTCAACTTATCTCTTTCTCGCAATTGTGTTATGTGAAATAAATAAAGATAATATCTACTTACTGCGCACAGCGATCAATGGACTGCTGATGTGCTTGCTGTACGGGAGCGCAGAAGCAATTGTTGGAGTGGACGAATGCCAGGCAACCCGCGTGATACACTTTCTCCAATATCCAGGTTGCGTCCCAAAGCCGATTCCCAGTTACGCATGCAGAGGACGATGTAGCAGCTACCTACAGGTAAGAGAAATACAACAAGTTAGTAAAATAATCTTGTAAAATATAGTAATCTCGGGGATGACAATTTTATAAAGTACAATAGAAAAATAAATTTCGTATCGTTTAAAAATAAATCTTAAAAATAATTCAGCTAAAATATTTGCATTCACAAGATACGCAAGAGACATCCTGTTTCCATAAATTACAATTGCACAAAGATGTATTTTTAAAATTTTAACGAATATTACAATACAAAGATCTCGCTTCGTATATTTACAAAATGTATACACGTGTAAAAAGCACACTTTTTAAGATTATAAACATAAATCCTTGCGACCGATATAACATTGCAGAGAGATTCGCGAGTATCTTGACGTTTGATAGAGCCCGTTATCTTCCTCTCCTTTTTTACTTTCTGTCACTCAATACAACGGGATATAACATGAGGAGAGGAGAACGCATGTAATAAATATATACGCGTACGATATGTGATTCGGTTTGTTGACACGCACAGGTGTCCGGGTCCAAGATGTGGCAAATGGAGAGAAGTTGCATGTGTTGTCAGGAAAGCGGTGAGAGAGAGGCTAGTGTCTCCCTGTTCTGTCCGAGGGCGAAACCAGGGGAGAAGAAGTTCCGGAAGGTGAGATTCTCCCTCGCTTTATTCGCGACACGAAGATCCGCGATCGGGACGTCCGGAGTCACGCAGAAGCAACGTACGAACCAACACTCGCTCAATTTCACCACCGATCGTCCGCTCGAGTCAGCAGCGAAGCCTTTCGCGACAATCGCGAGTCTCGCGCGGCCATGTTGTTTTCGAATCGCGTTGACCTCTGGCCAATCGGCGAGCACGACGCGGACCGCGAGCGTGGGCGCCCGATTTGAAACGAAGGAGGATCAGAGGAGCGAGTCCTCTGATTATTTTCTTTCCTCCATTTTTCGAACGAAGAGGATCCTCGTTTCCCGAAATTGTCTGTCAGATCGCGAAATCGCGATCGTTCGACTCGACTTGAACGTGAAATGTCAAATGCTGTATTATATCGTTATATTATCTGTTCACCAGATGGTTACCAAGGCGCCGCTGGAGTGCATGTGCAGACCGTGCACCAGTGTCGAGGAATACGCGATAATCCCCCAAGAGATCGCGGGATTTGCCGACGAGGGTCCCTTTGCAACGTCCGCGCATTTCAGAAGATCCTCTGGTTTACAATAGATAGATATATCTCTTCTGGATTAAATGTTGTTCTCCGGCCATCGAGACTGTCGCCGATTTCGAGCGAAATTAGATATTTTAAGGAACTGGTAAGAAAATCCTCTTGTGCTGATGTTTTTTTTTTCAAATACATAAAAGCGTGGTCGAGACTCTGCGACAGATTTTAATATGTAATATATGTTGACGAAATCGCACGCGTAAAAATATATTCAAATATTTCTTTATTTTAAAAAGAAATTGCAAGAAAAGCATCTCTTATTATATTTTATAATTTTAATAATTTACTAATAATTAATTAATTAAATTAAAAGTAGTAGTAGTATTTAATTAAAAGTTTTATTAATTATTACTTATTCCATCGATTGCGTCTCATCGGCAAAATATAGTTCTCAAGAAAATAAGATTGACAATTTTTGTGTGACTAAAGCTTTTTTTTATTTTTTATGCTGTAATAGTTCTTTTCTTTTTTTATATGATATGATTTATATATAGAAACGTATTTGTATATTTATATGTATCGCGACGTTTTCCGAATTCTACAGCAACATCTTTATTTTATATATAATATATTATATATATTTTATATTATTTTATTTTATATATAATATAATATAAAATAAAGATATGATAGTGTAAATCTTTACATCTGTCAAAGCAAGCATATGTATTCCAAGTAATGTTTACATGTGTCAAAAAGAAACATATGCATTCGAGTATGTGTGATAACAATATACAGAATGTTCCAATAAATAAATTCGATGTTCTTTGTATAATAAAAAAAATAAGGATTCTCGCGCGAAAATGATAATTTTTGGAAATTTTGTCAAATTAAAGAGAAAATCTTAGTTTTTGAAAGAAATGTAAAAAGATCTTAGTTTTTAAAAAGGAATGAATTTTTTTTTAAATTTTAACTTAGTTAAACTGTTAAATTAAAAAAAAAAGATCTCAGTTTTTCTTAAAAAGAATACAATAGCATCGTACTCTATCTATCTGAAACACTCTGTATACGTGCGTGTTTGCACGCGATGAAACGTCAAAATAACGCGTCATCGCATCATATATGTTGCGTGTAAAACATTACAAAGCAGCTTCCGTCCTCTTGTAATTCGCGTCGAAATTTTTTATAGTGTCGTCCTCGACTCTCATTTACAATAATAATCTTTTATTTATTATTCACATTGTTTTTTAACAATATTTTTTTATTCATAAATATATAAATTAGTGTTATATTTTATTTATATCTGCGGGGTTCGAAAGATGCACCACATATGTGTACACTCACGTGCAAATCTTACGCTCTCTCCTTTTTCTTCTTTGTTGCACTTGCTATTTACCACGTTCTCTGTATACTCTTCATATATATGTAGCAGCTCTATAATAAATGTATACTCGCGTATACATTTCGTATAATTTAATCCCTTCGATCACAAGAAAATCAGATTGAAGAAAATGCCAATCTCTTTTATTCAGTATGAGCTATCTTATCTTTCTGCCGATTTTGGATTATTTATGGTTGGTGCGAAAATCTGAATCTGTGCAATGAGTTTCAAGGAATTACTGCAAAAGAAAAAAAAATTTTTACAATAAAAAGGAAGGAACATATGTATACGCGTAGGGAATGGAGGAGAAAAACATTGTTACAGATAACGAAACACGCACTGTAACTTCCACTTCCATTTGAACCGATAGAAGAAACATTACAGACTGTTGATATACTTAAATAATAATATATATTTACATACAATATATATAGGTATGTTCCAGTAATTTCAATCAAGCCTGTATCGATTCGTCTGTACGTTTCGTATTCCGAAAAATGGTCGATCGAAGATTCTGATAGATGATTTCGGGGGAGACCGAAGCAAATACTCGTTCTCGTTCTCTCTCTCTCTCATTCTTTCTCGATATACTTTTGCGAGAGTATATCTCTTTACGTTCATCCTTTCGAAAATGTCCACAATATTTTCCGAATGTTTAAGTTACCTTTTACAGGTACGATAAATCGTATGGTCGGCACTTAATAACGATAGATGCCAGACAAATGTAATGTGTTCTTTGATAGCTGTACACGCATACACACTCAAAATCAGTCTCTCCTATCTACGAGCACGTTCGAAACAAAGATGAGCTCACACGCTGTACCTCAAATCAGTTTAATAACAATTTTATACAATTCGCTACAGCATTTACCACGTGGATACGTCCAAATGGCGCTCCGCTCTCCCTCTCTCACTCTCTCTTTCTGCGATTATAAATAGCTAGTGTTAAAAAATAGTACCTTAATATGCACACCATTTGTAATCTTTCGTTTTTTTTCTTTATATAACTTTTTCAAAACGTCTTCTCTAGATTACAGATCCTAATTCCGCGCTATATATCCCTCTCACTTTCTCTCTATCCCATCTCGTATTTGACGAGAGTATCTTTTCTTATAATACATTATAAGTTATTGTAATTTATATCTTGCAAAGATATAAATTAGAAATTTTGTTATATAAATATATATACATGCATATATTATGTGTATATATATATATATATATATATATATATATATATATATACATATACACATACAAGCACATACATACTTATATACATACATATGTATACATATATATATATATATATATATATATATATATATACATATACATTTATACATATATGTACACCTTATTCTTCATTACAATAATAGGAAGAACCATGTCGCTGTCAGTGTCAGACTTGGTTATCTCGGTAAAGTTGCCTTTTCCTTACTTTCCGCAAATTTTAATCCATTTAAAATTGACCTACTCGATTGCATATCCCGATTTGCAATTTGTTATCTAAATCGTGTAACAAGCACTTCGGTTGTGTGATCCGTAATATAGCGGATTAATATATCGGAAGTAACGTTGAGTGTCTTTCCGATTCCAAGCATGGAAAAAAGACGCGTATTCCGGTTCTATTGAGCGATCGACCTACCTCGCTGCAGAGATATTTTGCATAAGAAACACGATAATTATTTTTCGAGCCATTTTTTTTGCTTTATTTAACTTTGAACTATTTTATTGAATTATATATAATAATTATTTTGCATATATAGAGTTCTGTAATAATTAATAATTAAACTTTATCTTCATTATGTATATCGCGCGTATCTCATATACAGCAGTTTGTTTTTGTGAGCGTTCTCTCACTCCTCTTTAGTTGGTGGTAGAGTGTTGTAAAGAATTATAGATTATATTACATACATTTTCACGTGTCACTTCATTGTTATTTTATTATATCGTTCTTTTTTTAATATTTAGGAAACGCGTTTCTGCGTTTTAATAGTTTTGTAAGAAAAAAAGAAAAAAAAAAACACAACTGCAATTTGATTTCGAGCATTGTATTTTTTCTTTCAACGGGGAAACGCGTATTTGAGTCTTTTTAATAGACGATAATGTAATCGATCACAATATCGTCAACAGTCCTGATTCGCACTAGTTGATAATTCTTCGACACTAGAATTATCGTCCGGTTCTTGCAAGTCAGTGAAAAACGACGTAAGTGCGACAATTGAAACACTATGACCTTCGATATCCGCCCCTTCTGGAATCTCCTTCTGCCACGTCAGAAACGCGTCACTGGATATCACATTGTCCATCCACAATCGGTTCATGATGGGAACGAGAGTGCCTGTAATCAAAAGAACAAGATTCGTCAACTCCACATTCTCTTCATGCATATGTTTATATAATAGAGTACATATAATAGAGTAAAATAAATAAATATATATTTAATGCGATATGTAAAAAATATATTATGTGTATGACACAAATTCGTGTTAATGTTGATCATATATGCACATATTTCCATATACATACCGGGTGGAAACTCGATTTTATTAATATATCTCTGAATTGCATAAAGACATTGCAATTCTAGCTTCTCGTTTGCGTCGGCGTATCGTTGAATCAAAGTTTGCAAACTCGTAAAAGAATCCACATTTAGTTTCCACGTACCGTAATGTCGTTCTGCAAACAAATAGAAAAACGTAATTTAGAATAGCAAACTTGCTGAAAACTTTCAAAGTAATTGTTTTTAAAAGTTGCATCAGTATCCTTTTGGCTAAGAACAACACAAAGATAATTCACATATATACCTTTACTCTCTTAAAAAAAGGTCTCATCATATTTTTTTCTATTATTACTTGTAATAATATAATTATAATAACCAATATTCTGAAAAATATATAGTTTTAATACATACCTAATGTAGTTTCTAAAATGGCAGTCATTAAATGTCTTATAAATTTGGGATCCTTATCTCTATTACCAACATTTGCCTGAAACAATATGAATTCGTTATAAAAGATTGTTGCTACGAAAATCATTTGTGAAAATACATATGTGGTAACTTGAGAATATACTTACAGTTATCCAACTGCAAATTTCGTCGAACGAAGAATTTTCTTTCATAAGTCTTGTAAGATTTTCTTGAATCTGTTCGAACGAGAGCTGATCAGTGGTAGCAGAGCCTTTGGCACTATTATAATCACCAGTTAGAAACTCCAAATTCTAGAAATGACAAAAGAATTAATGAGATATTGAAAATTATGTTTGTAAGAAAAGAAAAAGTTCAGAATATATACATAAAGATATATATATATATATATATATATATATATATATATATATATGAACTATATAGAAATTACACATACATCAGTATAAATGATAAGATGATAGGACAATCGTTAGTAAGAAGAATGCCAATTAGAAAAATATAGGGTAAAAGAATTATATGTGGAATAAAGATTCTGCAGGATAAGAAAGCGATGCTCGATTACTTTGTATTTGTTTGACAGAAAAAAACTGAAAGAAATAAAAAGAAAGAATAAAAAGAGAGATAAAAAAGTATAAACATATAGTAATAAGATATAAAATAATCTTTTTTAGAGCATTAGTAGTTAATTAAATTATTAATTGCATACCATTGTGCTTGTTATAATGAATGTTGCGTATATATAAATTCATGAACTGTTTTGTTTTCATATCCTGGTCTTCTCATCTTAGTCTTGATTAAATCAACTAATATCGCAAAAATAATCTATGTAAAAATGTTTTAAGAAAAATAGGAAAAGGAGTAGGAGAGGTAGAGAGAGAAAAAGAGACAGCGTTATTTATTGGAGGGTTACTTATATATACATCCCTCAAAAAAAATAT